CTGCCATGTTTCATTGTTTGATTTCTAACAACTTATCACCAATTACAAGTTTACCTGTTTTTATACACAGAATGTCATTTCAATTACAAGACCACACCATTAGATAATGTCAGGTCATACCATGTGAAAAGAGATAAACAAAGTTATTTTATTTCTAGCATTTCATTTGAACATATTCAATTTAAAGTAAATTCCAGGCTTCATATATCGTATGGCATATCCTGGAAGTTTCAAGACAAATTTTGTAACGTATAGCAGTAAATGTAGCTGCACATTATATTACAGAATTCATACCGCCAGCCTCCTGAGACTGGGGCAAAAAAGTATAAAAGAACAAATATTTTCAAATTCGTTAGAAATGAAGTTGGGCTATAATGGGGGATAAAGACCACTTTCTTTGTGTGACATTCTGTAACCGCCACTGCCCGCCATTTTGCGTTTTTGTATCTCAAAACATCGTCAAATAGTTCTGCATCCAAGTGAAAACCTACAAAACATGAAAACATAGGCCTTCACCTTTATAAAACATGAATTTAAATTTTATAGAAGCAAATTCATGTTCAGTTAACTGAATGAATTGTCTCGTGCGTTAGATTTCGCGATCGTAAATCAAAGAGATAACAGTTCAGCACACACCCACGAATACTGTACTGATAAAACATTTGTTTCTGTGGAGGTCATCTGTTATCTCCATTGTTATTCCATTCACATTGGATTTCTGTTTCTTAAATTACATAACACTAATCTTATTTTCTAACGTGTATATTTTCGTCTTTTCTATAAAGGATGGTAGTATGAAATATATTTTAATAAAGTTTCAGAGAAGCAATTAAGAAATACGGTCCATTACATTTTGATAACTCACAAGTTGTCTATCATCTTGTTGAAATGTCATAAAATTGCCAAAATCGGAAAGTAATGGTTTACAGAATAAGGTTGTAGGTTGCATTGATTAACACCTTCTGAAACACTCGTTGCCTTTCTGTGACAGAGTTGTCTTCTCGACATTCTTTTGGCAAATCAAAGTAGTAATATTGTTATTGTATTTTAAACTGTATTTTAAGAATAGTATGAGAGGGATACCAAATGCTTACAATAGCGAAATGCTAATTAAAGTCTGCTATTGATGATATTAAACAGTCTTTACCACAAAATGTCTTGTACAATTTATAACAATTTAATTTTAGTGTAAACCTTTCAACTTTGTGTATATAAAAATAGAGTTAAGGTTTGTTATGTACAATATGGTGATATATCAACCCAACAATACGTGCCTCATCTCACACAGTTTTTATACATAATGGTTTTCTTCCACTGTGTATACCTTCATCATAGAGAAAAACATAATGGATGATTCGTGATGATACACATATCAAATACTAGAAATTAATTACAGGTCTGAAACATTACAGGGGAACCCGAAGGAGTAGGCAAATGGCGACGTTCTTGCAAAACTTCTTTACTGCTAGAACATTAGCTTTTTGAACTTCCGATCAGAAATCTTAATTAATTCCGATCATAAAGTGAATGACGTAATTATGTATGTAAAGGAAATCAATAAGTGCATTGATCTCAATTAAATTTACAATAGAAAAAACAAACAGTTTAAAGAACCCTTTGATATCTATACATTTTATAATGAGTTTGTTGAACTTTCGAGAGCCTTTCAAGATGATACGGCAACCATACTAGAAGGGTTTTCTTATTTGTAGTCTTTCTGACCTCCATTTTCAGGTCATTCCCACCATTTTATTTTTTTAGTATCAAATCCATCTAAAAAGACCAAATTGTCTACGTCGTAGATCTACGACTTCCTTATTTTCATATTGCAATATTTAGCTACACCGTCATTTTTATTCTCAAGATTATATTAACAAAGACATCTTATAAATATCTATTAAGATTAAGATTTTTTATCTTCAATGCCATTTTTACCTTCAATGTTATCTAAGACTTCAACGTCATCTTAATCTTCAACATCAGCATCAAAATCATCATCATCAGCAGCATTAGTAAGTGGCTGGTCAAAACTAAACAATGTCCAAATTTCCAAAACGATAGTCTATTTTTTTCTGTGTAGCCTATGTTAAACTCTAAAAGTAAGACTCGCTCTTGATTTTTTCAGGTCAGAAATGTGGAATAGGGTTCTATGGACCACACTGTACATTACCATGTAGTGATGGCTGTCTACATACCTGTGATGTAAATAATGGGGTTTGTGAAGGTGGATGTAAAAATGGATGGACAGGTGTTCAATGTGATCGCAGTAAGTATAACAATTTAGTGATAGTATCCTATGGTTTACTCCAGAACAGACTCATACGGCTCATATAAAGATTTATTTTGCTTTTGGCAGTACTCATAACGGCAAGACGATCTGGTCAACGCAACGAGTAACAGGAAAGTGACCAGGGTATACATTCTGAACGAGAAAAGATTATTCTGAACGATGATTATTAGAATAGAGAAAATATGAATACCATTTAAAGATTGGTTTCCTTATTTTAGTGTCAAATTAAGCAAACTATTTGATTTATTGGTGTTTCTAATGAATTATCATTTTTTTTTTGATCATATCAATATGTTCTTATTGCATATAATTTAACCAATCATAATTGCAATTATGTAATTATAGTCTGGATAAACGAAAAATACTTTTTGACCTTTCTCGATCGGTCACTCATTGGAATTCTGCTGGTAATTCACTCCTAGTTTAGTTAATTATGAATTAATTATTTACATGTGAGACAAACTGGTATTTTTCCAAGTCATTAGAACACCTCTACTTTCTATTCATATAAGTATAAGCATTTTCATAAATAAAAATAAGGGAACCCATCTTTAAATCACAATTTGTTACAAATGTTTGATACTCAGCATCATTAATATAGTCTTAGGGCAATAATAGGAATTTTCCATTTTTGTCCCTTATTCATTGTTGTGATTTCGTTCACATCTTCTCACCAAAACCAAAAATGACAACAGTGCATGTCTAGTGTAGGTAACTTTCTACTTTTAACCTTTATTATATTGTTTGTGTTATATTAATTGGAGAATGTCCTAAATACCGATATGGAGCCAACTGTGTCCGATCCTGTGGATCCTGTGCCAACGACTTACCCTGTGATCCTGTAACTGGTGTGTGTCTTTCAGATGGTGGTTGTGTTCCTGGCTGGCATGGTGAAAGATGTGACCAAGGTACGTAAAGAGGAACTCTTAGTAGTGATGTTCGGTGGTGAACTTACACAGATATATTGTAGTTCAATGAGAAATTGGATGAATCTACTATTATTCTATTATTTGATCACCAGTAGGTGTACTAATGGGGTTTGACTTCGTGCATTGTATAGTCGTTTACAGAGAAGCATGCTTTCACAGGTCTTTGATTATGTTCAGATGAGCGTGTTCCGATCTAAAAAGCGTGTCGTGTCATAAGGATTGAAGAATTAAACATGAAATTTGATAGTTAATCAATCGGTTTGAATTTTATTTCTCCTTTGTTATTTACAGGGTGTGAACCGTATACTTTTGGTAGCGGATGTAAAAATAACTGCGGGAAATGTCGTCTCAAGTCACACTGTAATCGTATGACAGGAGAATGTAGCGCAGGATGCGAACCTGGTTATAGAGGAAAACTCTGTAAAGAAAGTAAGAAGCCTTATGTTTCTATGTATCTGTTTCCAAACTTGTGGTTTTATTTCTCTCTTAGGGGATCAGCACCACTAGACGTACCCAAAAGCCCACTTTTGGATACACTTGGATATAGATTCAGACCTCTGTCGATTGTGTGTGAACATAACGACTTTTAATGTTTCAGTAACTGAAATCTACATGCTTTGTCGTTAGTTGAATGAATCTCAAGTAACGAAAACGTATATCTTCGATAAGCATCCTAGATTGGATGTTGGAGTAATGACTGACTGGGGGAACATCGTAATGCTACCGGTCAGTCATTACTCCAAGATTGGATTTAGAGAACACAGCACTTTTAAACAAAAAACCCAACACAATTTTATGGTATACTACTCTAAGGTTTTATTGTACCAACGTTTCAACAAAATACAAATATTTACAGGATGTCCACAGATGACCTATGGAGTTGACTGTACTTTAACATGTGGTCATTGTTCTGGTAATGCGAGTTGTAACCACGATACAGGGCATTGTGTACGAGGCTGTGAGCCTGGTTGGACAGGGATACAATGTAAACAAAGTAAGTTGATTTAGCATGGTCGATACAAGACAAATATCTCATAATCTTGTAATATCGACCTTCTACGTCTGACACATTCTTGTACTCGTGAGACTGCAGCTGCCCCATCTATTACGAACTACATGTACGTTTGATACCTTGACATCATTAAGCACTTTCCTTGTTTCATGGAAGTTTGTAACTGTAGTATTGTGTACGCTAGGAAATACAGCCATTGTCCATCGCATTTATTGGCTATATTTATTTGTTCTTTGTGTTTCAGGATGTAAGTCTGGTAAATATGGACGGGGTTGTTTTGGATCCTGTGGACGATGTCTTAAAGGAACCTGTGATCACGTGACTGGAGTCTGTAGCCAAGGATGTGCTCGAGGATGGGGAGGGTTCCAGTGCCAATCAGGTCAGTGGACATAATTATTCGGGGCCTGCTAGTGACCCCTGTTGTCTTCTGGTATGAGACCATAGGTTCAAATAGTTTGTATGTATATGTATGTATATATATGTATTGTAAATCATCATGAATACATATTTTAAAATCATGTTCTGGTATGAGACCAAGTTACGATGTTAACCAATGCGCCATTCTTCGGCAACTTCGATTATGGAATTTAGAGAGGTCACACATCTGATTCACCGTTATTTCAATTCTGCCGCCATCATTCTAGGTTGTGGTTTTGGACAGTATGGTATTAACTGTTCTATAACATGTGGTCACTGCCGACACAATAAAACGTGTAACAGCGTGAATGGTATATGTGACGGGTGTGATCCTGGATGGACAGGCGTCTATTGTAAAGATGGTAAGTTTCACTAGATCATACTTCGTGCTACTGGAGTAGTGAAGCTTGCGAAATTTAATTTATGATATGAATGGGTCCAAAGCCGGACCAGCCTCTTTTCTCTGTCCCCCACCTTTGATGACACTGGACAATTATGTGGAAATCTCCACTCACCTGTTGGGCTATTGGAGATTACTTCAATCTTTCAAAGACAAATACTTCAAAAGTTCAGGTTCAAGTAAGTGAAATCTTCCGACAACCACTGCAAATCGGAATCGAGCTGTAAAGTATGACGGGTACCCCTAGTCGCATCGAGATATCGATATAAAATCCCTCATAGTAGCCGAGATCGCACAACTAACTTCCATGTGCTCGCAAGAAGCTACATTGCTGCTATTCAAGTCATTGATATTATTGACAGATAAATCTTTCTTTTAACAGGTTGCCAAGAAGGTTTCTATGGCCAGAATTGTAAATTTCGATGTGGACGATGTGCTAATGGAACACCCTGTGATCCTATAACCGGAAACTGCCCAGAGGGTTGCGATACTGGTTGGAAAGATAAAACCTGTTCCCATAGTAAGTCACCTTATTGATCAATTACCACATATACCTATATCTTTTTAAAAATTACATATTCATATTGGATCATTTTCAGACTGTTGATATTGCTCTGGAACACCATAATAGGTGTCAAGGTATTTCAATCATGTGCTTCCATGTTCTGAAGCAAGTATCTTGACAGTGGATGAAATGTAGTGTCCTAGATGGATCACCACAAACACTAACTTTAATACTACTACCAAAAGTTACATGGTTCCATTTTGAGATCAAATGAAATGAAATATGAATATGATAATCAATGCCAGTATCTTGCGATCCAGCGATGATCTGTTGCGGATGCATGGTTCACGTAAAAACAGTACAATTAAGTACTGGTACACACCAATTGCTGCACTGGCTGCCCTATGCTCTTTGGAACTGGATTTACAGATCATCATTGATCATGTTGTATTTCATTTCAGGTGATATGCAGACAAGAGAAGAAGACGCGAGTTTTAAATCTCTGCAGTCCATTCTACCAATATTAATATCAGCTATGGTTATCATCATTGTTACCGTCTCTCTTATATTTCTCTACTTCACTATTATCAGACCGAAACTACGCAACAAACCAAGCAGACTTCATTCAGCCTCCCGGGTAAGTACCTTTTCAGATATTCCCAATTATATAAACAAATCGAATTAAAAATGTACTGGAAAAAATCGACTGGAAAATAGTTACGCAAGTGGTTAGTGGGGCTTTAATGATATATGATTTTGGCACAAAATTTTTCAGAAAGGTTGCGGACAAGATACAAACTCATACGTTTAAAAATCAACTACAGCCTTATAAGCAGTGATTCATTACAGGAAAATTCCTTTAAACCTTCAACTTTTCAAAGCACTTCTTTGATAATCACTTTATTAAAAATAAAAACAATATCTTATAGGCCGAAGATGACCCAGAAAGAGTAAGGAACACCTACGAGCATATTCAAGGTAGTCCGTGGGAGATTGACAGAAGTAACCTAGTAATAACCAATCAACAACTCGGTAACGGACATTTTGGTGAAGTTAAAAAAGGCTTCATCAAGGAAAGGGGACGACAGGAGCCAGTCGCAATAAAGACCTTGAAAGGTTAGTAACATGTACATGTATATACCATTCGCGAGTAAGAGAATTACCTTTTCTGTATTTCGGAAGTAGTAAGCACTGCCAACTGAAAAGTTCAGGATGCCGGCCAAGAAACATTTTAATTGTGTTTATTGCAAGTAAATGACCTGCTGATGTGCCCTCGATTGCCTCCCTACAGTAAACCCTTTACCCATATCTCTGTGTATGTTACGTTAAAGCGATAAAGTTTTGCCAATGCTTCGTTTTCCATTCCGTATGGCTTTAATTTTTTCTCGTTTTTCCAGATAATGTATCAGAGAAAGATAGAAATGATTTTTTGAATGAGTTAAACATTTGGAAACAGGTGGGGAAACATCCTAATATTGTGTGTTTGGTTGGTGCCTGTCATATTAGAGGTATTATTTTTTTGGTATTAGGGGATGGTAGCCGATACCAGTCGGATTCTCGGAAGCACTGGCACAGACATCAGGATGTGTTCTTACCTTCAGGAGGACTCGAGCCCACGGCACTTAATCGCCTCGGAACCACCTTAATCCATCTAGACCGATTTATTTCTGCACCTTTATGTTCAAGCAAGTCAACATGGAACCAGTTCGAAACTTAACAAACAGACTGGTTATATTTTATCCGAGGATGGTCAGATAAGGCCTTTAATGAGTTTGTTTAGTTTTGTCGTGCATTTTCCACATTACTGTGTTAAGCATTTTTTCATGAAAATCTTTCATATTTATGTTTGATTTCAGGTGTGTTATATGTTGCTATGGAGTATGCACGCTACGGAGATTTAAGAACATTCCTCAGAAGAAGTAGAAAAAACAAAGATCACCATACTTACGCCAACATGGCATCTACATTACGACAGACGACGCTTTTAAAATTCGCTTTGGATACTGTGAATGGATTAACTTATCTTGCTGAAAAACAGGTAAACCTTCATTCCATAGACACCAGCGTCCTAAAGGTTTGTCTGGCTAAAGCGATTGTTGAATCGATTGGGCCGAAAAGTCGAGTAACTATTGTGTGGTGCAAAATGCAGGATGTACGCGTTCGAAAACCAAACGGTGGGAAACGTAAGACGATGGGGCAAATTGATGAATTTATAAATTTTCACTGTATGCTGTGCCTTTTGCCATCAAGGCCCCTAAAATAGGAAAAAAAGCGTAGAAAATTACAATGTTAGACCCCAATTCATTTTATTTCAGATCATACATAGAGATGTAGCAGCACGGAATGTTTTATTAGCTGATCATCTGGTGGCCAAAATCTCAGATTTCGGTTTGTCTAAAAATGATGAAACGTACGTTAAAACATCAAGGGTAAGTGTTATTATTAAAGTCCGTTTTAAGCCAACAGAAAACACGTTTCGGAAAATGGTCTACAATGAAAGTTCCGCTAGCTCTCTGAAATATATTCAGCTTTATGGAAAGTGCTGAGAATTATCGAGAAGAGACTAACTGTGAGATGCGATGTGTTGTATGTATGGTGCACAAGATAAGTTTCTTTCAAAAACGTTTCAGTCTTCCCTGAGACTATATCGGTTCGTATACTGTTAAAAACTATACAACCAAAATGGGTTAATTATAACGATAAGATCTTGTTGTTTCAGACCAGGGTACCAGTAAGATGGATGGCGGTAGAATCATTGTTTAATAATACATATACAACGAAATCAGACGTGTAAGTAGTAGTATTTTGACCTCGTAACATAACTACTTATATGTATAGTCACATGTCGTAATTTGAATCTGAGGTAATTGATATCTGAATGGAAATACCTGCCTCCAAGTAAAAAACCTATTATGGTATATAGATCCTCGTATTACGAACGATCACAGGTGTTCCTCAAGGGTTCTCATTCTCATCATCGCTTGCTAATTCCGTCACAGCAATCACAATCAGTAGGAATTTTAGGTTGTACATTACGGTTAAGCAATGTTACGAAAGCACAGGCATGTAGGCGTAACCTCTAGTGATAGAACAAGTTTGTGAAGTTAGTTTGAATAATAATATAGAATATTTGAAATGCATATCCATAATCTTCCGAATCTGAAATATATAAGAAGAATACTGGTTCCAACAGGATCATTGGAAACCATAATAAACAGTTTTCACTGGTGAAACTGAGAAATTTTAAGGTTTCGCTTTGGATAATTGCAAAGTCTTTCGAGTTTGAATGAGTTACAAACTATCTGTTTTGTTCCTTCAGGTGGAGTTTTGGTATATTACTGTGGGAAATTTTTACACTGGGTGGAACACCATATGCCTGTATAGATACACAACAATTATTCAATTTTCTTAAAGATGGGTACAGATTAAAGAAACCTAGTTTATGTGATCAAGTTTTGTAAGTTCTTATTTTCTAGTATTCTTCGGTCCCATACCATAATTTCTACATGTAAAAGTAACTTGTACCCATGTACTACTGTTAGGTACAGATTAGACATTGGTTGTCGTATAGAAGTTTCAAATGTGTAAATAGGTCATTATCTTATAATACACGTCTGATTGATAGAATATGCATCTCCTGTTGTTTTCGTTGTAGATACGCTATGATGTTACAATGTTGGAATGAGAGACCAGAAAGAAGACCGACATTTCCAGAAATTCACGGTCGATTACAGAGAATAATAGAAGATAGTCAGGTAGGCATAAGATGGACATTTGCGGCCGCTCATAAGACATCCATGGTACTATAAATAAATCAATTCTACCATTGATAGGGTCATAACTGTTAAAAACCCTTTCGTTACGTTACTTTGTTTTTCTTTGTTTACGTCGGAATGTCGAGTGTTATACCCGGCTTAGAACAGTTCTGTTAGAGTGACGTCTTTTACATGTCAACTACAGTGGTGGAGCCAGGTATACGTCTGAGATTGCCCGAATTTCTTACCTAGTTATGAGATTTTTGCCCTAAAAACATGCACTCGGGCTGCGAAGGGGTCAAAGGAGGGGCAGAGGGGGAGCCGCCCCCCCTGCCCCTCCTTTGGCTCTGTCACTGGTCAGCTAAGTTCATTTGATCTGATTCTGATAACTAGGTCAGGTACGTATGTGTATTTTAAATGTTGCAGGTGTATATGAACATAAATGCAGAAGATGATTCACAATATGCTGAGATAGATGTGGGAAAAGACGTCGAGGATAAAGAATGCTAAAGTATTAACTTGGGTTACAAAGTTTAAATTTGTGGGACCAAAATTTGAATAACCAAAGCTGCGTTAGAATTAGTGTTTATGCCGTATGTATGGATCATTTGCCAATATCTTTAAAGCTCGTGTGATATTCTGAAAATAATTCGTGAGTAATCCTGTATAAAATTTCAAGATAGTCACCAAGTTGATTCACGGCGCTTTAAGGTCGCTACTGGTACATATTTCCGTCTCCATCTTCCTCTTTTGACATTTCATAATAGCTTTAATGAGTATCTTTTTTTAAAATGAAACATGAAAGAAGCGCGCTGTTTAGAATGATGAAATTGTCTCCCTTGAAACCTGAGAGATCTGGAGTTTTTATATTTTGTCGATTCACTGTGAATGAAGTAAATATGAATCTAAATATAGTGTAATAATGTATATAATGTAAAGATATTGTAATATAATCTGTACAGTTTATAATAGAGACATTAAATTTATATAGATATCATCTCCCGCCATGTTTAGTTATTTACATTACCATTCAAGATGGCTACGACAAGATGGCGGCAATATGATGAAGCCTGAACAAGCGCTCTTTTGTTACTATGTTTTCTTTCTTGAAAAATGAACAAGGCTAGTAGTCCAAATGCCATTTCACATAATGATTATCAGATTACAAGTCAAGGTAACAAGCACCCTCACATCTCTTATTAAGACAATAAAAAAAAAACACCAACGTGAAAAAATTAAGGGTTTGACCTTATATACATTCACTAATCTTTTACCAAGAGTGTGAAATACATTGATATATATGGCTCTGCCGATGTATAAGAACTCAGAAATAGGTGGGTTTGATTTAATACAAGACACGAGTAAATGAAATAATGAAATTGATATAGTAAGAAAACAGATATATAAATATAGTTCAAAACTAGTATTTAGTTTAACCATCGGGTAATTCATTGGCGTGCACAATCTGAAATACAAATAGAAAAACTATTTAATTATAAAGTGAGTCATTAGTGAAAACGGCAATCGTTTGCTCGTCCCATGCATCTAAAAGGTTATCAGTTTTGTCTTATAGTGGTTAAATCTATACAGTTCCGGAAAAAATTAATAGCTTCACAGAACTATTTTCTTCCTGCTATTTACTATTTGAACTATCAGACTACTGTGCTTAGCGTGCGCTCGGCAGCGTAGATACAGCTTTACGGACACTGTCGAGAATTGTCACAAGAACAGTGGCTCAACTACCATTGAAACTGGTTGAACCAAGCTCACGGGCCCCTACTCATAAGGGTACCCCCACCCCAGAACAAAATACAGGAGAGCATACGTTAATAAATCTCAGGGAGGGGCCCTAATCCACTGAATTCCATGGGCCCCTACTCTTCCAGTAGAGCCACTTCAAAAGAAGACCTATAACACAAAGTGAATAGCATACTTTTTTGTCTTGAAGCTTCTACCACTAGCTCGCCATCTTCATCAAACATGTACATAAAACTAACGGAACAATTGTCATCGTCCCGAAACATACACAATCTTGACGATTCTTAAAATAAAAAAATCTACTTATAGCCTTCAAATTAATGTAGTTTTAAAAATTCTTTGTACAGCTTTTCCAGTGATGGATTTAAATCAGAAGCGTGACCATACAACATGGATCTTGCTATTGAAATTTTTGTCGGTCTTCAATGTTCTTACATTTCAATCTCTTTTTGCTGATAATTTTTCCTTTACATTGTACAGCAATATGACAGTATCTTTGGGTTTCGCTATCCAACAATATTTCATAGTTAACGGGTCCCCATTACACGCTTTGACTAGTTAGAAATAACATCATAAGGAGGAGACTATGGTAGAAAACCTGTTAGAATACAGTGGAAACAATAAACGAATTGCTATGAGAGTGATTATCGTTTAGGGTTTCAATACCTTGTGCCCGTATTACTGTATTAAATTTCCCGAGACCAAGTTACCGTGCACTGGCTCACCACGTTGCCCAGTAAAATGTGATCGTTAAAAAAACAATTGCTTTGGGACACGCATTATTAGTGTAATTCAGACAATCTTGAAATAAACGTTAAAACAAGAACCATACCTCTACGTTCAAGTGAATCAACTGGCATGATACCATACTGTCTACATTGATAATAACAATCTTCTCGGGTTAGCTCCCCTGTTTGAAATATTGTACACTGTATACAGGGCCATAATATACTGCATTGTCCAATACATGTCTGAAAATAATTTCAATTTCATACTTGGATGATTACTGATTTGTTGTATTGCCCTCCTGTAGTTGGTCTGATGGTAGATACACGCTTGCTCATTTGGGGCTTCCATAACATCCATCCATCCCATCAAGGTATATGTAAAATTCAATTGCATTTTAACAAAAGCATCTTCACAGCATTACAATTGAGAAGATAATAGCAGCGTACCAAATAATACACGGTTGTTATTTTCATTTAGGCTCACTACAAAGTATTACAGAAAATCTCCACTATTTTTCCGGGTCAATCTTTGTCAAAAAGACAGCCATTTATCTGTTCTAGTACTTTGGACTGTATAATGTATGAAAACTACTTACGGGACACTGATCACAAGTTCTACCACGATACGTTCCTCTACATTGACATGTGTTACCAATACAATTTCCATGACCGTTACATATTATCTGGTAATTGAAAATGTATAGATCACGATTCGTTGATTAGGCTACAGATTGTTCTTCAGGTCATTCTCTTAACAACCAAGCCTTTGAAATAAGTCATAAAATTGTAACTAGTATAAGCAATATTATAAGGGATATATAGGTCAAAGTACGTGCAAACGAATACTAAACGAATCAATATAACTTGATCTAAAAAGAGATATGTGACTTCTAGTGATTCTTACCCCATTTGGAGCAATACAACCATCTGTTGACATTGGAAGTTCACAGGCTGTACCAGTATATTCTGGTTTACACGTGCATTCTCCACAGTTACAAATTCCATGGTCACTTCCACCACATATCGAATTATTAAACCAATTACAGTTTTCATTATTACATTCACAGTGTTGGCCTTCAAAACCCTGCATGGCAAAACACATTTCGTTTCATTCCAGGGGAGGGGGTGGGGAGGGCTGCGAAATATGAAACTAGCATATCCTAAATCTACTGACAGACACATCACACCATTTTTCTATGACAATCGTACTATCGAGATCTGTCCAAAAAAGCATCAAAGTCTAGAAAACGATACTTGGGTTAGGGGAGTGATTGGAAACTCTTAAGATATGTTTTGAGAAAAGTTTACTTACTGCCTGGCATTCACACATACCACAAACACAATTCCCTCTACCGCTACATACAGTACTATCTGGTCTGAAATATACGTGCAATTTCTTATATGAGGTGCTGGATTGAAACCTAATTAACAGGAAGCGTCCTAGAAATTTAATCTATTCAAGAGTTATCCTCACTGAAATAAACTCACTGTAAATAACCCTCAGAGCGTAGAATACTCGCCAGGACACTCGATAGTGAAATGTCATAAGATATTAATTATGACTCAATAATGTTATGTGCCGAAAAATGGTTGACGCTCTCCGGTCCATTCCGGCACTTTCCGTTAAGCAGAATCTACAGAGAATCAGCAGAACATTCAGGTTGAACCATTTGTTTCAGATGCCTGTACTTATATCTGTCAGGTAATTAAAGTATACAAACCTTGCTCTGCACGTATCTCTTTCATACCCCATACATTCACATTGCTGACCGAAATATCCATCAGAACACTCACATGTTCCACAAGATAAATGGCCATTTCCACGACACACTGCACTATTCCTTTCCTACAAATAGTCACAGATACATCGTTAAACAAGCATCGTGGACAGCATCATGGAAGTGCTATCATAGACATGTGGAGCCTCTGAGTTGTCAATGTCATAATCAAGAAAAGAAACTTTCAATCACCATCACAGTGATTAAAATTAGACCAATCTTTCGTTCCGTTTTTATTACGGAAAGAACGGAAAGTGGGTCAAATTTTAATTAGACGGATGATATTCCACATTGAGGAGGGTATTCCACATATAAGGTGGGTTTTAAATCCCAACGACTCAACCGAACCACTCAAACCGGAAATGCAACTAAAAAAGTGACTCGTTACCTTATTTTGTTCACAGCTACAAGGACATGATGAGCGAATTTCGATGTTGAGTTTATCTTGGGTATATCCTGGTATTGATACTGTTATTCTGAAACATGTTTAGCATTATTAACCAAGCCGGTACGTAGCTCAAACGAAAATACAAACAAATATATCATTAGCATTATTAATAATAACTAAGTCGGTACGTAGCTCAAACGAAAATCAAGGGACAAACAAATATATCAACTTGTCCATTCTTTTGACGGTGTTTTCCAGTAGGTGTGGTATTAATATAAAATGTGGATATGTCGAAAGGCTTATTTACAGTCTTTCTTGATGAGCCAAAGTTATTGTATCAATATTTCATCCCAAAGTTCATTTTTGCGAGAAAAGCTTTCCAACTTATACCTTCATACAATGAATATAATTTATTTTCTTGACTGGTATTTACCTTCCATTCCCATCATTACAATCTAACACTCGTATCTTCAGCGTAAATGTCAACTGAAATTATAAATTAAAAGGATACACAATCAGTTTACTTCTTCATGAGACTACGTATATACAATATACCACATCGTTTGGTGTCAATGGACTAACTACAGTTCAGTTTATAAGTCAAACTTACAGTTTGTCCTCGTCTGGTCCTAGAACATCTCCCTCGTCCACTGTCTCTCCAACGAAATCTGAAAACATACAAAATGACCATAAGGGACACCTGCGTTGAGAATGAAACAACCTGCAGTCTAACGTCTGATATAATGCCTTTATACATGGAAATCACATTGCAACAATCTTAAAACAGAGGGATTCATTATTTTCTACTCCAGAACAGAAACAAATATGACACCATCTGATGTAATAAGTTGACAATTTCATCTTAGAACAGAAGGGCGACTATAATGGTACAAAAACAAAATGTGGAACCGCATGAAATTTCTGACCTACCTACAAGTTGAAGTCATTGTTATGCTGTATTTTCGTCTGGGAAAGGAAATTTTAGTAGCTAACCATCTCTGTAATAATGATGAGGAATAAACTAAGTGTTTCTATTTTTTTAAATGTTAAATTGACTTTTTCCAATTGGGCTCTTGATAGATGTAACCTGTGCCGTTAACCATTGTCTCTGGTGACTTTTCTCATCTATAAATCTTAACAAATCTAAAACGCATTTCTTAATCAATTGTCGTGAAAATGGAATTATTACAGAAGTGTGTAAATTCCCGAAGGTGCACTGGTTAGCTTATATCTGATTCATAGTGCAATCTATATCTTGTTTTGAATTATAAAATATTTATTGAAGTACATTTTGAAATATATTTCTAACGTACCTTAGCTGCTGTGGCTTCAAACTGGACTTCAGTCTCTGAAATACAAACATATAATATTGAATATATGTTAATAGTTTTCGGAAGTTCTACTAGAAATCTACGAAAATCGCAAAAATATCTCATACTAGGTATTTCTTTTCCCGTTTTTCTACATATGGCAGTGTCTCAGAAAGACGAATCGTGTGTTCAACATTCAAACGCGGGTAATTCTGGTCACACTTGGTTTTGAAGGCTTGAATTTCGACGGTGAGCTGTGAACTGATGGACCTAGCTAAACAATACCCCTTTCTGAGACTTAACTTTGATTGGTCAAAAATAAACAGCTGAACTGTCCCCTTAATTGAAAGCCTTCATAGATATTGTACAGAATATATGTAGAGTTTGGATATTGCTTTTAATCTACTCCACAAGCTTGGTTATTGGTGAAATAAGACCATTTTCATGCCAATATCACTTTCTTGATCACTTATTCCATTGGATATAAAAAAAACTATATCTGGATTGCTTTGACTGAGGGCAAGTGTTATGTTCACGTCCATACTGCATGAAACGTGCAAAGTGAGCTTCCAAAAGCAACTTACTCTGTTTTTGATCTGGAAGCAAAACTCAACTTGGCAAGAAAATAAAGAATATCAGTTTACCTTTTCCTGACGCCTTCTTGATATTCAGCGAAATTTGTTGAGGTGCGATTCGTTTTGAATGCATAGTAGACAAAGGCTCATTCTGCAAATTTAAAGTCAAGTTGTAATATTTAAAGGTGTCCTTATACTATAGCGATTACCAGTTGCAAATAATGATAGTAGTCATAAGTTCCAAACGCAACTCACAACTCAGTTGCATGAGAATTGCGTTGCAAACTAATGACCGATATGTTCGACTCAATAATATTCCCAAAACAGCACATCACAATGCTCTGGATACCCATTTGCTGCCCGAGGTCTTTTTACTTACCCGTAATAATCTATAATCCATATCCATCTTCTCTTGGTTATAACATCTGTTTTCGTCGAGATACGCCAACCTCGCACATCTTGGACCTACAAAATTCTGTATGAAAAACACCATTTTTAAATTGACTCTTTAAAGACGTACAACCGCTGGTGCTATTTAATATAGAACTGCAAATTATTTGGGGAAACAACTACAAATTGGGTCAAGATATGTTGAAACAACTACAGAAGATTTGGGGTTACGATTGGGTAAAACATTGCGAACAATTTGGATCATGATTAGGTGAAAAACTACAGGAAACGATTTGGTGAGACAGAAATTTGGATCAAGATCAGTGAATCAGCTTCAGACAATGGTAAGGGGAGCAAGGTAGCAAGGGAGCAAGGGAGCATGGGGACAACAGTGTAAGATTTCAGATTACATGATTTACCTGATCTGCACACCACCCACAATCTTCGCCATCATCTATTTCATTAATACAACTACTGCAGGATCTTGCACTGGGATTACATATACCTTCTGTAGACAGAATCAAAAATGGACATTTTGTGAACCGCCATGTTTTATTTTTCATGTCAATATATTAATTAGTAAGTTCATGATTTTGAAATTAGTTAAAAGTGAAGAATTATTGCAAACAAATTAGTTTCTGTCATTAAATAACGCCTCTAGATGAGTCTGGTGTCTTCCAACATCGCCCCTTTCTATTTCACCCGTTTCCAATTGGCCCCTTCCTAATTTGCCCCTTTGCAAGTTCGCCCAAACAGTTGCGAAGCCAAAGGGAAGCATAGGGGTCAGTCGCCTCCTCTCCTCGCTGCCCCGAAAGCAAGTTTTTCGGGCAAAAATCTCATAACAAGGTTAGAAATTCGGGCAATCTGAGACATTTGCCCCTTCCCATTTCGAGGATGCTGTTATGACTTATATCTATTGTGATCTACACAGTTTTGCCAAAAGCACAAAAGCATGTATTTCTCACGATTTTGGTCTTTGATTTTTTTTTGTCGATATTAATTCAGTACTGAATTTGCACGTTGGAAATAAATCTAGTTCTATTATTGATGTAGTTAACTGTATGCTTACCTGACTGATGAATAGTAAATACGAAAAACAGAATAATCAATATGAAATGTAGACTAGGAACCTAGAAAATAATACAGTGCTGCCTTAGGCATTATTCATACTTATATGAAAAAATAATGGAAAAGAATTCCGAAACAACATTTGTTTGAATTTACTCTACAAGCTGGTCTGTAGTGTTGAAATAAGACCATTTCCATGCCAAAATAACCTTCTGATCACTTATTTCATTGGATTTAAAACCAGAAACGTGTCGCCTAGTTCCATTCTGAATGTTTTAAAGATGGGTTTTTTAGTGTCAAATTAAGCAAACTTTGGACAAACAATAAAAGACTTTATGACCTTTTTTGATCGGTCATCATATATGAAAATAAGGGAACCCATCTATGATCTCAGGCCTAGCATCTTTGTCATTTCCTTCTCCTTAAAATTATATTACCTTAACATCTTACCTGAATAAGTTTTATCTCCATTTTGACGTGTTACGACCTCGTCATCACAGTGATTCGTTAAATCCCAAACTAAACTTTAAATTCAAAACACGGCTCAAAGGTCATTTGAAGGTCAGAGAGATATTAGGTGCCCCAAATTATCATCATTATATCATTATAATAAATATCAACATAAATTGCATAATAATTAGTGTCACAGGGCTTTGAAAGAACTTCTCAAGGTCAAAAACTAGCGGAATATTCTTCATCAAACTGAAATTTTACGCTTTATGTTTCGGACCCGCGTTGGGTAAGACGCTCGATCTCTGCCATCAATCATTTCGCATGTTCCAACCCGGTCTCATCGATACAGGTCAGATGACGTAATAAAGAAGCGTCAAGTCTGCAGAGTAGTAGGACGTAAAACTCCATTTCATATCATTTTATTTCATTTAGGCTACGCCCTACGCTTCATCAGTATACATTAGTATTGGACTTTGCGAAAAGTATTTAACCGGGAAATTTCTGCAATGTCTTTCAAATTTGACCCATTATTAGATCTCACTAAGTGGTTTCCACGTATTATCTAGCCTCTGTGAAAATGCCTACAAAACTAGTTTTTGTCTCTCCATAGGAACTTTTTTAGCTTTGTTGTCTGATGCCACATGATCTTTAACAAATTCACACTACGGACTTATTGATTGTGTTTGTGTTCTATTTTTATCGTTGTATTCAAGGTACAGAACCGCCATTTTCGGGGGTTTTCGGGGACATGGTTGCAAAAAACATAAACGGCAAAAAGGAAAATAAGGAGGTCAAGCTGATAACTTGATAGAGGAAGAAGGTCTTATTTATTGCATTTCACTAAAATTAGAAAGAATATTCTACTCTTTCAAAATGTATGAAATGCAGGACCTGTATCTTGAGAATTTGAACCATCTTTTCGAATACAACACATTTAACAAAGTGTAGATGTAAGGACTGTCTGTAATGCACCGATGATGAAACTTGACACAGAAATAATTTTAAATCTCCTCAGTCTCGTGGTTTTATTGACATAAATGTTTTAACTCTCGAATTCCACGCCTCGGATTAACATCTTAAATCAACTGCAGTATCGAGTGAAATTTAAACTTTTTAACCCAACAATTTCGATCATTAAAATAAAGCCTGTTGTTGATTTCAATTCTCGAGTCTGTCGTAAAAACTCCTATTTGGCCCTTGATAAATTATCATTTCGTTAAAAGTTCAAAAGTGACAAGGTATTAAGCATTTACATCCTAGTTTATTTTCATCCATTGACACTCTTCGATTCCTCTCGTCATTCGATAGCTTGGTGCAATGTTTTAAACAGCAAACAACCTGTTCTGTAACGTTATGTATAGAAAGCTTTGTAACGTTATGTATAGAAGGCTTTGTAACGTATAGAAGGCTTTGTAACGTTATGTATAGAAGGCTTTGTAACGTTATGTATAGAAGGCTCTATAGGGTTATGTATAGAAGGCTCTGTAACGTTGTGTGTTGAAGGATCTGTAACGTTATGTATAGAGGGCTCTGTAATGCTAGCTGTCTTTGTAAATGAAAAGCTACCCTGTAATGTTATGAATTGCAAGCATTGTAATATTATAAACAGCTGTAATGTTATGAACAGGTGGCTATCAAATGTTATAAACAGCTGGCCATGCAATGTTATGAGCAGCTGGCTTTGTAATGTTGTGAGCAGCAGACTATGTAATTTTATAAACAGCTGACCATCCAATGTTATAAACAGCTGGCCATGCAATTTTATGAGCAGCTGGCTTTGTAATATTATGAACAGCTGGCTATGTAATATTATGTAAAATTGGCTCTATAATGTTCTGAACTGTTGGCTCTATAATGTTCTGAACAGCCGGATCTGTAATATTTTTAAATGTTGGCTCTTTTAATGTTCTGATCAGCTGGCTATATAATATTATTAAAAGTTGGCTCTGCAATGTTCTGAACAGCTGGTTCTGTAATTTCTGAAATGTTGGCTCTATAATGTTCTCAACAGCTGGCTATATAATATTATTAAAAGTTGGCTCTGCAATGTTCTGAACAGCTAGTTCTGTAATGTGCTGAACTGCTGGATAAGTAAGGTTCTGAATTGCTGGATCTGTAAGGTCATGGACCTCTGGCTCTGTAATGGCTTACTAATGTCATGAACAGCTGAATGTCATATGTAGCTGGCTCTGTTGGATATGATATATAGAAAAGTGTGCATTGCAGCTGTTCTGAGAAAGTTCCCCTCGTGGAACACTACATGGCGCTACCCGCTTACATCGTCCAATTATTTCATTTTCTGTAATATGAACAGCAGGTCCCGTAATGTTATCAACAGCGGTACCCATTTAAAGAGTTAAAATGACTAGTTTATACAAATAAATAATAAAATAGTTAAAGAGTAAAACCCAGTGTAAAGTATACTATATTTAGGTATAGTTTTACCTATGTTCTAATTGCCTAGTATTTGTCTATCTGTGACAATTAGATTAGTCTGTATTGTGTTTGGTTTTAAACACAATAGAATACGAGGCGAGGAAGGTAATTGTTAGAGTATTATATATTGTATTCTGAGGAAGTGTGGTTTTCACCTGACTTTACAGGTAAGTAATTGGTATACAAATTTTAAAATTGAATCTCTAAATTAGTTTGGGTGATAGTGGAGAGGGGGTAACATATAGGGTGAATAGAGGGTGAATTTTTTGTCTTCATTTTTTATATATTGTTACTGATAAATAATTCGCTGCCCACACAAATACCCACAAATATTTGATATTTAGTAATATTATTTAGTGATCTCATTCATTCATGAGAATTCTGACTCGGCTTATATAACGTGTCTTGTCGTCGTCGCAAGTGAAAAAATGGGCCTTATTTTCCAATATTTGAAGACTGCATTGTAATTTGTGAAAACATCTCTTAAAGGAATAGGTTCGCCATCCGTTTGTGCAATTGTACTTTAGTAGCAGAATTGTTTTTTAGCTAAGCTAATCAGTAATAGTGTTCATAGCTCACCGTCGAAATTTGGGCCTTCAACTGTGTCCAGAGTTATCCGCGTTAGAATAGACGACTCGTCTTTTCTTGAGACTCTGCCACTTATAGAAAAAAAAAAACATTATAGAAATAGGAAGTAAGACTCTTAGTTCGAGATATTTTTGTTTGTATTAAGCGATTTTCGTACATTTCTAGTATAACTTCCGAAGACTATTTACTCAAATCAACCCCCCAAAATAGCGAATATGTCTCTTTAAACTCACTAACATCTATCGCTGAGAACTTAAATGCGACATTTGTTAGTACAGGATCTTTAAACTGCATGGAAGGAAACCATGTTTAAAACCTTGTATCCGGTCAAGTAATACGATCTGTGTGACTTCCGTCAGATTTTACTACCAGTTTACTGTATTCTAAACAATAAACAATATCACGACACAAAGTTAAGGATATATTGAGCTATACTACCATATATGGTGAGAATTAAATATATTTTATGACAATTTATTACTTGTATTCCAATGTTAGAAAGGTTCTAAATGACAATGACTGAACTAGATGAGTGGGGACCCATGGGTTTAAGCGGATTCGGAACCCTCTCCCTTGAATTGTTTTTAACATAATTATGCTCTCCTGTATACAGACACCTTTGTAAGCCTGTAAATGGAAGGTTTGAAAAACTTCAGTCCATAGTTTATGCCATTGTACTCATTCAAAATATCGCTGTTTGCTTAATTTTATTATAATTGTATACTTTGATATATTTTTCGGGGGAGGAGAGGTGGGGGGAGAGGGGGATGGGGGCTTAGAGGTAAGGGCCCGTGGTTCAATCAGTCACTGTTCTTGGAGCTTGGTGTTTGAAACATCCGGACCATTGGGGGTAATGGGTATAACTGTTAAAATGTATGAGAGTGAAATATCAGTATCAGTACCAGTCCTTATTGTCTCAAATAGATATCGGCCCATCCTAGTCCAAAATCAATCAGAGTGGCAAAAGATAGAACATAGAGACTACTCTGTCAAGCAAGCATCACCTTCTACAGTAACTAGTCAAATCTTTGCCAGAAAACCTCATTTTATCTTCACAAATTCAAACTCTAGTTTTTGAAGATGCTCTTATGTCGGTTTTATTATATAGATCAAGGGGAGTAACTCTATATGACTAAGATACCTGAAATAATTATGCGACATTCTGTACACCATCTGCAATCATGATCGACAGAACAGGTTACCGAACACACCACTCCTTGATATTCAAATACTCGGTATAGTGGACTATATATTCAATCTAATATGCTATACTTATACTGGTTTACCAAGAAAATGTTGTCCCGGACATCTGTGAACCAGCTGTAAAACATGTTTATTAACTTTTATAAATAAAATATTACCTTTGTATAATGTTTTATACGGACTAACCTAGCGTGATTGTATGAAATATAGAAGTATAATATAAAAAGCGAGTAATATAATATTTAAGGTTGGTGGATAGGGAAGTAACAAGTAAGTTTCAAGTGTTAATATTATCTGTTGATAAGTTGTATGTGCTTCCAAAGTTAGTCTTTTACTTTTCAGCATTATCGTTTACTTTTAGTTAGCAGAGTAGTTATTTTTGGCATACTAGCAGTTTTTGTGGTCACAATGGCTGTCCCCTGATGAACACCTGGAAACGCCTGATATCTATCGACACCCCTGTCAGCGAGGATATACAGGTCGAATAGGAAAATGATATCACATGTTTATTTACATACATAGTTTCCATTATAATTTAGTCAGGTGCTCACTTTTGAAAAGTATAATGTTCAACCATAATTTTTGGTGTTAATGAAATTATTAAATTTCCAAAATTATGGATATGCCTAAAACAGTGGCGTTTCTCGGGGTGTGCTCTTTCACATTTTTTAACAATTTACATAGTGAAAGAATGGTTTTTGGCTCCCCTGGAAAATTGCGTGGCCCGTGCTCGCCTCCTCATCTCACCTAGAAACGCCAATGGCCTGAAAGTGATTCATATTGAGAGAGTTTTGTTTTGTGACCCTCTGTAACTGTAATAATTTGATTATCATACATCAAAATGGATCTTGTAAGAAGATATTTGTAAGGTCTGTCTGTTTTTTCTAGTTTCCAGTGCATTGAATTTATTGAATCATGTCAGGCCACTGTACTAAATATTGCGTACACGTGTCAGCCAACCTGCATCTGCTCATAAAACGGATCAAGTAAAAACTTGTTATATTTCTAACTACGTACTCTGGAACACCTGATATGACTCTAGACTGCATGATAGAACTATTAGATCTATCTCGTTTACATTGTAACACAAATCTTTATTTGGATTAGTCCTAGCTATCTTCTTGAAATCTTTTTATAATATTTAATTCAGATGTGAAAGCAAAACACTTGAATCATTTCAAACATATCAAGTTAAATGTCGAGTAGAGTCTAAACATTGGACTAATCAAGTATAGGAGAAACTATGGCCCTTGTATTAGAGTCAACAGTAGCCTAACGAATTTCATTATAATATATAAATATATTTCAACTTTTTACGTTTTGAGATAAATTATTAAACATATTATAGCAGAAAGATGAGGGCGTGGAGGAGCTTTTGCCCTGAATCTGACTTTCAGGATGGAATTTGTGTAAACATTAATGCCATCAATCTAAGCGTCCCTCTCAATAAGGAGCTTCTTGAAAGTTCAAATTTCCCGTATTCTTAAAGAGTAAAACAACTTGACATTTTCTTTGGAGAACAACGTAAGACGTACAAGTCTAAATTTTCAAATAAAAAAAAATTAATTCCAAACAATCGGATTAAAATGCAATTTTATTTCCGGTTTTTTGCACTTGTCATTCTTGATCTGACAAAATTTGTCTAATTAAGTACAGTAGAATTGTGCTTAATAGCGTTGAAAATATTATACGGATAACTACGAGTACGTGTAAATTCATGTGATTCAATTGGAGTGTCCCTGAACGCAAACAATTAAAGTTATTTGGTTTGTACATTTCAATTTCAATCGAAAGATTTCAATAGAAACGCGTGTTAAAAGATATCGTTATCTAATGTTTGCTGAAGTTTTAATTTGAAAAAAAAAAAACTATTATGATAGTACATTGTATTTATTTAACTGTTCTAAGTAAATAATTATAATATTTTTTTTTTGTTACACGAGATCAAGGATGCTTTATATATGCCCTGCCTCTCAATAATCCGAAACTTTCTGATTTTGACGTAAATAGTGTTGATTGATAGAACTGATTCCGGTGGATTGCAAAATCATCCATTTTTACCTCAATAGCTCAGAATTTGGTCACTCCCAAACCTATCTTCTTCCGGTTTTAGATTTTAAATTTTGACTATTTTGACGTGTCTCGGATGCTAGGGAAAGCGAAATGAGTTGTTCCCTTTAACACTCATCAATATACTGAAGAAAATATAGTATTATGTGACGTGGTTCAGATACTAAATAACGGTAGTCATAGTAATGAAAAAGTAAACTTGACTATAGAAATAAGTTTTATTCATCCGTATTATGAATCAACATTGATAGTTATTCAAGTCTTAATGCTCTATGTAATTTATAACACACATTTATTAAGCAAGAGAAAGTCTGCCCTGTGTACTCACTATACACAATGCGCTGATAGTATAAAAGCAATTTTGTTATTTGAAGATAGAACCAGTGTATTTTAGCTATTTTTAACAACAGGTACGAGATTTTCATTAAAGGAATACTACCTATTACAATGGACATAAAATATAGAGTTTCAAACTTGGTCAAACAAGTATATATTCATCAGTTGGACTTACGAGGTGGCGTGACTCAAAAATAGAATCCCTATATAAGTCCATTCAACTAAATAATTATTGAAACACGCTTCTAAATACTTTGTTTAATGAATTATTACTTAGTTTTGTGGATTTATTGGATTATGCAAGGATTCTGTTGTAGTATAGTTCTTTAAAAATCATGGCTATCGATCCTTGGTCATATCTTATGTCTGTCATTGTTTTCTATTTCAGTCGAAAATGGTTAGATTTAAGGATGTGACGTCATTGGTGTACCATGATGTTTGCATATCTATCATCATCATTTTGGGATTATGCCACATGACATTATCTGAGAAGAAATGGTTGGAATCAGACATATCAGCTACTAGGGGACATTATCCAGGAATGTTCTGTCGGATAACAAACGTGATTTTAAGTGCCAAAGATCAAAAGATTTATTATAAAAACGACAAATCAAACTTTCAGTTTAAAGTGGATAATGAGTGTTTTTTGAATAAAGAAATGTGGTCTTTAACTAAATCTGAAAATACTTCCAGTCAGTGTGATGAGATACTAGATTCTGGATTTTTCTTTCCTTTTTATTATTTTCGAGGCGGCAGTAATTACCATCATCTACATTTCGATATTCTCATGCCTTTGTACAATTATTTATATTTTCACAAAAGAAACAATAAAAATACAGCGTTATTTCCTGGAGTTGAGACCAGCCGTTTACAGGTGAGCCAAAGTTTCGTTCAGAATAGCCCAGAATAAATTATATTTTAGTTTCTATATTCGCTTGCAAAGTTGATTGAGCACAAATAAAGTTACCGGTTTCATCTACCCAAGCTCAGTCGGAATGTTGAAATTTGAATGTTAAACGGATCATGCCAATGTGGTTTGATTGATCTTGTTCTGGCCCATGCAAAATAAAGGGATTTATCAGTGTTTTTATAGATGGACAGGAGAGGGAGATGTAAAATCATCCGTTTGCTTGTAACCCAGTGAGGTTTTATTAACAGACCTAGTATGTGTATAATACTCATGTTTTTACTTCCAGGTAGTTGATTGGTTGACCCCAGCTTTTGATGATGAAACAAAGTATTGGAATCATGTCATATCAGTAAGTAATTTTATCAGTTTCTGTAATATTTTAAATGGTGTCACATCTAACGTTGTTTACATTTCATTGAATATCTTACATCTTGATTATTGACAAATTTGTAGTTGCCAATAGCCACTTTTGCAGTCAAAAAGTAAAAATAAAGATAATGTGACAACAAAAATGCACTTATATTGATCATCTGCATGCAACACAAATTTTGACAGGTTTTAATCTTTCGTGTTTCTGAAATTGACACGAAAGCGGAATATATTGTCCAGTGTTCTTCTTCAACTTATGCTGTTACATAATTTTAAATCGCTACAATGTAATTTTCATTATTTTTCATAGGTATTTAGATATGAAGATTTGAGTTATATTCCAGTAAATGGAGATCTAGTCAATTCTAATAAAAATATATGTGTAAAAGCAGCACATTTTGGGGTAATTAATTTTACATTTTAGCACGTTTTAAATTAGTCTAGGCTCAAATCGCACATCAGCGATAGAACTAATATGAACGAAACCATTAAGGACAAAACAAGACAATTCTCATACGGCAATTCCAAATCATGAAAAAGCTTATGAAGAAAATTCGTTATATACGTTACAAAACAGACGAGGAATACCGGGTGCCATTCTGATCCAATTTTCCTCATTTCTCTTTTTTTTTTATTTCAGTTACCAAAAGCGGATCACACTAATTCCAGTTTTTTAAAATCATTTGTTCAGTTCGTTAAAAATAAATTAAATGTCACACATGAAAGACTGAGCGATCAGAGAGTTGGACTTATTAAAAGGTCAGACATTTCTTGATTTGATGATGTGGTCAAATAGATTTTTGCAATCTTTACCATCATCAAGTCAAACCCAGTTTAAAAATCTAAAGACGAAGGGGAATAAAACCAGAAAGATGAACATTAGAGCAGACATCAGTTCGATATACAACATAAGGAGTAAAAACAAACTATATTAATTTGTTCTTCGTCAAAATTGCTCAATTTTTAACTTTTCAGATCCAATAGAAGAAGAATATTGAATGAAGAATTATTGATAGAAAAAGTCAGAGAGTTTGTGGATGCTGAGTTGGTAGAATTTAGTGGTTTGACATTTCAAGAACAGGTAAATATATAATCAGGATACTAGTATCCAACTCCTCTGACATCTTACAATGCCCTCACGAAAAAAAAACCTTCTGCCCCAATTCCATTACTGCAACTAAACACCATACACCAATGGCCCTTTATTATTACTTTCCTCTCCGAACAATCAAGTCTGGCTTCTGGCCTGAGTTTGGGACAGCTTTCAAAACGTAAATATATCGTTAGCTTGAAAGTCAATTGCCAGTCGGCTTTCGTGATTTTTATGGAGCATTAGTACAATTGTATCATTCTGTCTTATTTCAGGTTAATATTGTCCAACAATATTCAGTATTAATAGGTATGAATGGTGCTGGGTTGATGAATGCTATTTATCTCCCTCCTGGATCAGTAACAATACAACTTGTCCCTTATAAAGCTGAGGTGGATCATAAAAAACAGGCAGCTATCTATTCAGCCAGGGGACCATATTTAGAATGGCATAATGAACATGAAGATAAAGTATCATTGAGTAACCCGGGGAGCTATTCTCAAGCTGATACAGAGGTGGATGTTGAAGAATTTTTAGCCTTGGTTAAAAAGGCACTGACATTAGTGAATGGTGATTTAATAAAAGAAGAATTGTAGAAGAATTTGTTGAGTTTTTTTTTCTCGCTCATCTTTACTACCAGAGCCTGTTGTAAAAAGGTTTAATACACTGGGACACTGATAACATCGGTCCAATCTTCACAAGTGTTTAACTGCAGTCTCAAAAATCCCAACATCATGGATTACCCTCATATTTGGAGATCTTTGACACATCAAAGAACTTCAGGAATCTTTCATTAAATCCAGCTTCATTTTGTACATCTGTCTGAGGTGGTTTTTCATCAAGAAACCCAAAGATCTCCTTATGCTAATGTCGATATTCCTCGGTCGGGATTGAGATTCCAAATACGATAGCTTTTCGTAAACGCTCTAGAGGCGAACCTCCCATTGAGCGCCTAAGACGGGTCTCCCAAGAATTGATTAGATGCATTCTGACACATTTAAGTCTACAAGACATATTTTCAAATTTGCAAGAAATGAAGTTGGGTTATACAGGTTGGTCCGGCTTTGGACCACTATGTTCAATGTCACGTTCTTAAGTGTACATATGGTGCTTTTAGTTCCCCCCTCTTCCCCCTTTTTGACAAATTTGTGTTTTCTAGACACTGATCTCGTTGCGTTTGTATATTCGACGTTGTAGTTATCATGCCGTTTCAGTCATGCTACAGATAACATATATCCTTTTAAGCTGACAAACAGCATATTTAAGAGTTTGATTCAAGTCGTATCAAGGATGACAACGTGGGTCTTTAAGGACTTCTTTTTTTATGTCAGATTCAGACGAAATCACAGAACGATCAGAGTAGCCTACGATTCAGAATGAATTACCGGCGTCCGGTCTACAATTTAATATAAACACACCGTTGGGGTGATAAAGTCTCAGCTATGTACGTAGGCTATAGTATAATACATCATAATCATGTTTTTATCCAATTCCAATTATTGTCGACAAATCGGGCGTCCGCTTTTCATTTCCTTAAGTAATACTAAATGCGGCCTTTTCAGTTCTTTATGTAAGCATTGGCCTGTATGTAGATATTCCAACGACCATAATATTCATTGAAGCACCCATAAGGAATTATAACCAGATCCAAACAAATGAAAACAATTTGTTGTTGTCTCAACTTGAAAGAGTTATGTCCCATCAGTTCAGACCACAAACAATTACTCCTCCTGATCGAACGTATTATTTCGTTTCCCTTATCTTTTATATACATTCTCTGTAATGTACGATATCATCAATAATACCAGAGCGTATAGATATCTATACATAATACATAACACTTTTAGCTATGAATCTGTGCTTGGTAATTTTTCTTGGACAATCAGTGAGATGATAAATTCTTAACGTAGAAAGTGATCGGCATTTCAATTCCCGCCAGAAATGTTGTAAAAGTGAAAGCCAAAACCTTCAGCAAAAAGACCGTCAAAGTATTTTGAAAAGGGCGCCAAATGTGGTGACGTACAATTTCGGGATTTGTGCGAGTTTCCTAAAACAATCCGAAACAAATGTAGGTCTAGAACACAAAAACCAGTAGGAAATACAGAACCTAATATAAAGGGTTAAATAATTTTAATCTTTGGAACATGTTCCTATTGATGCAAATAGAATTGGAACTGAATTAGTAGAACATGCACATCCCTACCTACACATCTCTTAACATTCATTATATTATATTTACAGACAAGAACTCAGTAGAAGATGAGTACATTAGATTTACCCTCAAAGAAATTATTTATACAAGAAGTTAAAGAACATTATATTAAAACTAAACCATCACAACATCCAGTTAGTGTTTGGGTACAAGGCACTGTTATAGAGGTAATAATGGGTCCAATGTTAGGTCTATCTGGAATATGGGGCCAATGAATTTAGAAAGTGGTTTGATTTAAAATGCTTTTTCTGTACTGGTATTCTAAAGAGAATGAAATTCTTATTTCTAAGCTTTCCGAATTATTCATACCTATTTGATTATTGGGTTGACTGGAATAATGATAAATTTATTCAGACTAACCTCTTGTCTGAAACATCTGCCTCTATTCCAGCCTCTGATAGATATTTTGACAGTGATCGTCTGAAGTAGGCTAGTCAGAAAAACTAGTTCCTGTTATGGAGATTTTCCACTCCTCGGAAGGTTTAGTCTTGCTAAAATTAGAATTTATGACCATCATTTCTTGATCAGAAAAATGGTTTTCATGTATGTATGATATATAAAAAAGTTCCTGTACAAAATGCCCTTTTTATTTTAGAACAATGATAATTGTAGTCAGCAAGTAATTGATGATGGAACTGGTATAATACAAGTTTTAGGCAATGATAAAATACCAAATTGTCCTAAAGTTAAAAAAGGTAAAAACAAGTCCAAATGCTACTCTAAAGTCTGCATGCAACCAATTCATTGCAATTAATCCAGGAATCCAGTTCCAGAGTATTTTTTGTGACATGCTGGCCAATTTTTTCTCAAAATATGATGTAATAAACCTTTGTTTTAATTATAGATACTGGTATTCATAAATTACAAGGTAGACTTTAGCCACTAAAATTAATTTAACATAGAGACACCGTGTCAAGGTTAATCCATAAATGTTATCTTTATTCCATTATCTGGAATGTAAAGTATATTTTCATGTCTTACTACCTTGTTTATTTCATATTATCTGGTTGTATTTTTATAGGCAGTATGTAATGATAACTGGTATTGTTATATATTGTAGGCAGTATGTAATGATAACTGGTATTGTTATATTTTGTAGGTCAGTATGTAATGGTAACTGGTATTGTTATATATTGTAGGACAGAATGTAATGATAACTGGTATTGTTATATTTTGTAGGACAGTATGTAATGATAACTGGTATTGTTATATTTTGTAGGACAGTATGTAATGATAACTGGTATTGTTATATATTATAGGACAGTATGCAATGATAACTGGTATTGTTATATTTTGTAGGAGAGTATGTAATGATAACTGGTATTGTTATATATTATAGGACAGTATGTAATGATAACTGGTATTGTTATATTTTGTAGGAGAGTATGTAATGATAACTGGTATTGTTATATATTATAGGACAGTATGTAATGATAACTGGTATTGTTATATATTATAGGACAGTATGTAATGATAACTGGTATTGTTATATTTTGTAGGACAGTATGTAATGATAACTGGTATAGTATTAGATGTAGAAACTACACCAATATTACGAGCTATTAAAGTACAAGATTTATCAGCTAATTCTATCATGGAAACAATGTGGATACTGGAAGTAATTGATCAAACTTTGACCTGTTCCTCCTGAATAGTGTATTAATTAACTTGTGGACTTCATAAAGAGAAGTTTTATATGGATTAACTGCAGTGTCCGCACCATTCCAAATTCACACATAATCTTTAAGGGTTGAAGTGCTTTTTAGCACAGCCTTTTGATCCTTCCTTGTATTTATATACCAATTCTAGTGAAGAAACATTCTTGTGCATAGTTTGAAGATTGTGACTGTTATAAGAAATAAGTGATAAGTAAATAAGTGCTCAGCACTTGAACAAGTACTAAAGAAAGACCATTGTATGTTTTTCATTTAAGTTTAATAAAAGTCAGTTATGATTTTAAAATAAATTATGAATGCATGAGTTGATGTAAAGGAATAAAAACAATGAATTTCTTAAAAATGTGTGGCATTCATAAACAAACACAAACAAATATATATTTACATTGAACACATACACTAACAATTTTTAACTGGTGCAAGTACATGATGTACTGTTATGAGGAACATGATTTCCATTTAAACATTGATTAATCTTGTTGACACTTCTAAGTGTTGAAATTAACCTTCAGTTAAAGTAGAGTTTGACAAACATTCAAAGAAGTTACCCATTGAATTTTGATTTTCTAAAGAAATCATAATTTCCTTATGAAAATATTAACAGGGGCTTAGTTTTCATCAAAGATATTCATAGATGGGTTAATGCAAAAAAAAAACAGAATCAATTGCTTTATTTTGAGGTAGCATAATTATGCTGTTATACACAGCTTTTGGACTGAATAAGATTCAATTACTATTTATCTTACCATAATGAAAAGATCAAAGTGTTAATGTCTAAATGCAGCTGTAAGTGGAAACATATATACCATTACAGATAAACATATAAGAAATTGAAGACTAATGTTGTAATACATTATATCTATTTGTCTCTGTAAGTGCACATCTATGATTTACGTAGATGTCAGTCAAGCCTCAACACTGTTCTTTCACTTCATTGTCAGTAGCTGCCATAATTTATATTATTATATCCATCTGAGTCCAGTCATAATCTATCAGGTAGTAACAGTTGGCTCATATTTCCTTTCATTACATAGCTCTCCTTCTTCAATACAAGTTTTAATCCAATCTTCATTGATAATATTGAACTTTTTACTTCTTCTTCTTCTAACTTCACGTAGCTGACCAACACGACTTGTATCTCTGTATAAATTATAACAATAGATATATAAGCATGGCACCATTAATTCTAAGTTGACCCTCATTACAACCTTAAATTCCAAGCTCTGATAATTAATGCCAACCAAAAGCAGTATGATTTAGAATGAAAACTAGTTTAATAGATACAATTCTGTAAGACTTATTTCTTGGTATTTCTTTTTAACTGTTAAAAACATTGTTGTTCACTTGGCACACTCCATCCTAAACAATGTTGTATGAACTGGTTATCACTGACTAATTGTGACACTTGCCAATACTATATCTGACCTCCAAATACTTTTATATGATTTAAAAATCTGAACCTTACAAGAATTGTAGAATCATCACGACATAGGACAATGTTTGTAAGAAATCTATGAAAAATCAATATTTATTACCCATCTCTAACCAGATATTACTTACTTTGAATCTATCAATACATGTGAGACCTTTTCATCCAGTCTTTCTGACACTGTTGCACCAAAGAATCTCAACTCCAGGCCAATAAGATCAAGACTACTATTAGGAATTTTTGTTGAGGCATCACTGATAACTAAATTGTTATCCACATAGATCCTGTAATATATTTTAGTATACAATACAGGATACTATTGTGGACTCTGCAATGACTCTGTCATGTAGGCACAGCTAAGATGTTGACATGGTACCTTCAGAATTCAGGTCACAAAAGGGTAACATGTAAATCAAACCTAGCAAATGAGTGCTACAGACTTAACATATTAAAGGGCCATTTCTATCAAATATTCAAAAAGAGTTAGCAAATTCATGATAATGTCAGTTTGTAAGCTGTGGTACCTTCAGACCTGCCTACATGGATTCAAGTGAGTGGCTGACAGGTAAATCAGGACTAGCAATTGAGTACCACAGTTGAAGTTGAAGATGTAAACTTTACACATCTTTCAAAAGAATTAACATTGCTTTATCTGGTATTTACCTGCACGTTCTAAATAAACCATAAGGTGATTCATCAGGAAAATAATTCTCTTCTATCTTAGCTATATCTTCATTGTCTAACATATCTTCATCTTCAAACTATAGAATAGAAAATCTTTCTTTTAGAGACCAGATGAGTTTCATGTTTCATAAGCCTTCTGGGAACAATAGACAGTCTTTCATTATTTTAGGGAAAACGTGTTAATTGACATACACGAAAGATTTGAAGGGATTGGTTTTCCAATAATATTTCACACAAGAAACGAAATGAAATCAAGTTTTATATCCCACTTTTTTGCAGTGATTAGGCTAATAGCAAGAAGCAATTTAAGGCCAATGTGCAAAAAACATTTGAATATACTACACCGATTCCAATTGTAAACAAGACAATAAAGAATACTAGTTCATTAAGAAAGATGATATAAAATTCAATACCTTTTCCATTTTATCAAAAACATGTTTTAACTGATCTTCTTGTGTATCTGTATAATAACTATCACCATATACATCATAATCTTCATCAAACTTACGTTGAGTTTTAGGTGAGATGTGTATCATATCTCCTGGAGTCCTGAAATAAATTGATTATTAATTACAACAATGGCAAATATTGCACCAGAGATTAGTGCTTGACATTAACCTGTGTTCAGTTAGTTTTTTGAATGATTTGCTTTATTGTATCACCATAGATGTTGAATAGCTATCTAAATTCTGAATGGGAGACATTGGTTTCCGAAACAAATTCTTTTCTCCACACAGGAAAAGGTGTGACCGATTTGTAGTATATGGTCAGAAATGATAAAATACCGACAAATAGACATAAATTGTGACAAAAATATATGAAACACTGTACTTAGATATTACCGGTATGTAAACCCTTACCATGGAATATATGTTTCATTTTCAATACATCTAACAAACCAAGTACCTTTAACAATATCATAAATATTACGTTTGATAAGGTTATTAACTCTTACAGCTATCTTATCAGCTAATATACAGTATGTTTCTCCACCTAAAATCATATATTACAGACATAAAAGATGACTGATTTGACATAGGCTATTTAACCATAAATTCTTCCCATTAATATAGACGTAATAAAATATTCACAAACAATGAACAGAAAGAGGATGTTTATAACTAAGATTTACTTATATGACTAATGGGAATAAAGCCTTATTTAATATAAATTGTAAAAAATAATATATTAAGTAGAAAACAAATATAACTGTTAGGTTAGTGATCTTCTAAACCATCAATAATATCTAACCTGGATTTTGTACAATTGTTCCACCATATTCTACTATTTTCTTCTCTAATTCTGGTTTCGGCCAATCTTCAGATCCATTTATTACACATATTTCTTTATTTTCTAACATCTTGGATATCTGGTGAGACAATGTTTTTTTTAAATACTAGCCTACTTAAGGTAGAGACAAAAATGCTGTCAAAATATTTAAAAAACAAATGCCATAAATTCCTTGAAAATGATCAAAGCAAATGAATCCATTATTCAGGCTTGTATTCCTTATTGGCCAATGACAAAAATTACATTTATCCCATTTAAGCTGAGTAAGACTTGGAATAAAATAAGTGGAATGTCTAAATTTTTATCACTTCTGTAAACGTTCTCTTCTTATTTTTGACAGTGCAATAGCTGACTAAGTTAAGAAATAATTTTTTTTTTACTAATACAACCAGAAACAAGTTGGCCTAGTCTCAGCTCTCAAAGCTTTCTTGATTGTCATAAAAATCTTAGAAATTATCTGAACTCACTACATGTTTAATTTGGTACCAATATACTAACCTGCGTAATATTAGAGGTATCTATGGCTTTAAATCGTGAACCTAATGTAGGGCGGACAACTCTTGATATCACTTTACGCTTCTTCTTCACTGGAGCACTGTCATCTAAATCATATCTTGTTCCAGCTAATTTACCTCCAGACTTCTGACAAGTGAAATACAAAAGTCGATGAAATGGTAGTATGCTCATTGAAGGATTTGTTACAGTAGCATAAAAACACCTGCATGCACTGATAGTCTAAATGATCTGATCAATGAACATAAAGCTTTGAAAGTCCTTATAACAATAGTGAAATGTGAATTCTTAAACCTAGAACATCTGAAAACATGATTTACAGAAACGTCTTGTATAGTAATGAAAATTTTATATAAAATTTCTTTGGTGTTTTTGTCAAGCCTTTTCGAACATTATTTTTTAACTTGAAGGAAATGCTGGGTTGTTGCTACCTGTCTTAATTCTTCAAGTTCTACAGTAGATAAACATTCAAACCAGGGTTTATCATCTCGAAAACATTCCACTCTAGGAAACCTTAATGTACAACCAGTTTTATATTTATCACTCTCGGTTATTTCAGCAGCTTTCACCTACAAGTTTCAAGACATTAATCTACAATTACTATTACATAAGACATCTGTCATTTAGAACACCTAGGTAATAATGCCTTAATTGTGCTATGGTTAGTTCCAAGTATTTAACTATTCACAAGTCTTTTAATATTGTAATGAAACAGAAATAACAATAATAATAATAATATACTGAACAAAATTATTACACCAACACTTTATTATAACAGATAGACTGATGGGAACATTCCAATATCAATCATGTCTGATGCCACCAATACCTGGAACTCTCAGACTCTTATATAATCTCCTTTACTCTAAACTGATTTGCTTCATTACCTGAACAATACATGATTTAGAAGGATGGATCCAGGCATCTGGTTTCTCTTTAAATCCTGCTGCTAAAATCAGGCAGTCTGGAGGGTTCCTCTTGTCAAATACTTGCCAATGATCAGCTAGTTTCTTATTGAAGTCACTTAATTCTTTCTTAGAATAACCTGAACCAACCTGAAATGTGTTCCACAAGTGTATTGATCTTTAGGTTCAGTAAGGGGTCGAATATTATTCTGTTTATCAGCTTCAAGACCTGCATAACTCAACAGCTCTATAATCTTATTTATGGTCTAATCTGATCAATAATAAAAAAAAAAAAAAAAAGAAGACAAAACTTAAAAAAAAATGACTCGATTACAATATACCTTACAAAATGAATGAAAAACTTGAGGATGTTCCCCATCATCAGAAGGTACAGCCACAGCACACATAAAATGTGACATCATACCAGCTCTACTTCCTACACCAAAATATCCTCCAACTATAACTATATCTAACTCATCCATTAAACCACCGATATACTCAGGTTTAATTTTAAACCATCCTCCTTTTCTTGTGTTAGGTCTGTACACTGATTCTGGGTTCTTCACCATAATACCTTCCTCTCTACCATCTATAGCCTCATTCAGAGCATCCGCACAATCTTGACTGAAACATCAGACAGTTCATTTTAATATGGAAGTCCAAAAAGATATAATCAATGCTGAGATGTATTATCTATTTGCTCTATTGGATCATTCTAGACAATCCAAAAATGAATAAAATCCAACAGGTTTGGCTTTAAGGCAGTTTTACAACTATAAGGTTACAATTTAATAGTGCCTAAATGATTTATAACACTATTCTCTAAAAAATAAGCTATATGACACTTCAAGCTCATAAGCTGATGAAAATAAACAATTACGCCTTTACAGCTACTCACTTGTTATGTCCCTCTTTAACCTGACTGATCAGTATTCTACCTTCTATAGTATTAAATACTTTATCTATATACTTTAATCTTTCTTTTAATGGTAGATTAGTCAGAACTTTATCATTATAGAGTAAAATATCAAATACTTGTAGACAAGCTTGATATCCTTTAGTTTCAGCTAAATCTGATGATTTAATATCAAACTTTTCAGCTTTCGTACCTGCAATCAAATTAAAATGGGATATGGAAGAGTAAAAGTACCTACGCCAACAAGCTCGTAACACACTGGGTTTATAAATGATAGGGAGCAGAACATCCAGACTCAAAATTTAAAAGTATTATTTAAAATATTGATAGGTCTTCACCACTCATAGCACTCACTAAACAACAATAGCTCAAACAAATAAGAAACCAAGAAGGCAAGGAGCAGCCATTTTACCCCAAACCTAGATATACTCAAAATTTAATTCACTGTGTATAGTACGCACCCCTCTGTAAGGGGCCCATTTTTGGGTAAAAGACTGCGCATTATACTTGGAAATATACAGTACTCATGAGCATGAAATTGAAAAGGAAAAGAAACATACCATAAGTTTGAGTTTGAGCATGATAGCCCAACATTTCTCCATCTAATATACATTTCTTTATACCTGGTTTAAAACTATTAGCTATATAGGGAGTTAGAGAACCATCAAATGCATTACTACCAAACACGTGTGTATATTCTTTACCACTGGAAAAAATATGAACAAATTTAGAAAAACAATTCAAATTTTGATATCCAATTTTAATATCATATTCTATAATTATTTTACATTATTACAAACAATTAACATATATAAAACTAAAAATAAATTTTACATTGTGCTGTCTCAAGAATAATTTCATTATCATAGGAAGAGAAAGAAGATAGAAATGCACATGACTTTCAAGTCAATTAAGAGGTTAAAAGAATTCCAACCTTCTAGAAAAATATTTATATTCTTCTTCATTTTTATGTAATAACATTCTCTCTCCATCAAACTTAGTTTCAATAAAATACATTTTACCATCCATTAAATTCTCCACCTACAATATAATATCACACAGTTTTTAACACGAAGACATTTGAACTCTGACCCCGGATTTACACATTAACCAGTTTTAATTATTATAACAAACCAATAACCATTTAATGCTAGACAGTCATTGGCTTTACAATTAGGCAAATTTCGGAGAGCCAGTAGCAGCTTGGATTCGACCACGGTTTTAAATCAAGATTCTTTTTAGCCATCTAAGATTTCAGATTCTCTAATTGGAATTAGAGTACTACAGATAAGAACTGATGTGTCTCAAAAGTACATAACAAGAAATGCCATTAATTAACCCTAATTATTATAATGACTAGGATTCTGAAGAAATAAATCCACCAACCTTTTCTGGTGAGCCTCTTTCTCCTAACATTGGAGTAAAAGGCGAGAAGATAGTTATTCCTATCTCATGTGCTCTAACAGCTGGATCTCTCAATAATCTACACACCTAGTCAAATTAAATACACAGTTATCAATAAGGAATTTTTTTTTACAATGACAATTTAACATACTTTGTATGTCAGTTATTGCAGTTAAAATCCACATTACAAATTTTATAGTCCAATTTACCAAAGAATAATCAACACATGGGACTTAATTTCTATAAAGTTTGATGATTTTAGAAAATATAGTAATCTCTTTGGATAATAAATCTCAATTTCAACTTAATTTTTGTGATGAATAATCAAATGACTAGAACACTAGCCATCTTAAGTTTTGGAGAATAAAGTCGCTGATTTTGAAACCTTTTTAATGAAGGCTGACAACAGAACACTGTCGTTACTGGACCGTAAAACGAAAAGGTATAAAAGAGACAAACCTTCTCAAGGTTATTGTTAACATTATATAGCTCTTCAGCATCTGTATGATACACAGACAGCATGGAGGCCTGACTCAAACCAACTTTTAGCTCTTTCACAATCATTCTTATTAACCATTTCTGTTCTATAGCTGATAGATTCTTTAATAAATGGAGGATATTTTTTCGAACTGGTTCTTTCTTCTTAGCTGCATTATTATTAGCTATAGCATCTAAACAATCATTAACATCTTGTATAGCTAATGTACCTTTGTCAGGGCACCTGTTTTTTAATACATAGTAGGCTACATTAGCAAAATCACCAGCATCCTGTAAATAGTAAAACAACTTCATTAGCACAATACAGGTTTAAAACTTCCAAGTCAGTGATGGAGCTTAATACTGGAAATCTTAGAATATTTTTTCATAACATTTGGCATATAGATGAAAGAACGTCAACTATACCTACACATAGCATATTTTGTGAATGAAAACTACATGGAGGTGAAAAAACATGTATTGCGTCTCCATTATTTGATGAAAAATTTGCCAAACTTCTTAATAATCAAAAACACTTCAGACAATTTTGTAAGGCAATATGCTGCACAAAATTTCTTTGACTTCCATTGCCATTGAATACTTAAACAGAACACTCACCCCTCTAGCTGTTTTAGGTGCTTTGAAATTCAACAATCTTGTTGCATCTGGACTATCTTTACCCAAACATAAAACTTCAATCATCAATTTAGCCAGCATATTCTGAAATAAAAATATTAAAACAGAACCTGAAACATGTTGTTATAAATTGATAGTCAGGTAAACAAGTTGGAAAGAAGACAATACACCAATGCGCAAGTATTGACTAAACTAATTGACGTATATCATTCAAGACGCGTTGGCATATAATATTTTAAGTGCTTAAATATCAAAATTTCATACAGTCAAATATAAACTGTAAGTAAAAAATAATACCTCTTTAATGCCATAAGCCAGTCTTTCTTTATCTAGATGAGGTAACAATAATCTCATGGCTGGGTAAAATGAATCCACCTAAAAATAAACGGAAATGAATTAAATGAAGTTAATAACATATAAGCTAAATATTTTAATTGTCAGTTAGATTATATTATATTTTATCTTTTGTGCTGTCATTTGAACCAATGTCAACGACAGAGAGTCTGAGCTTATTCTAACAATGGACCTTCTAGTGTTCACTGATCAAAAACACTCTGACTGAAAATATCTGCTTTAAAAATAACCCTTATGGGACTCAAATAAAATTATCCAATCCTTGTCTAAAAAAGATTACAGATTTGATGTTAATTGAACAGGTTGAACATTGTTTCTCAAAGGTTGTTCTTACCAAGTCAGGTTTGTCTCCATGCAATTCCTTATGATAATTTCTCCAGATATCAACAAACTCTTTCAAAACTTTCTTTTTCTTGTCATTGCCTTGAGTTTTGCTAATCTTTTCTAAAAGTCCACATAATTCAGCAAAACCAACTTTGGAAGCAACTGTCACTTCATTAGCATCCCTAGATGTAGAAGCTGCCATTTTTTGCTGCAGCAATATTGCTGTAGAATGAAAATAAATGCTAAAATTTTCTTATGCCAATGGAAATGCAGATGTTGATCACGATTTATGCTTTAGGATCAAGTTTTTCTCTATTTTATCCTCTTTATTAGTACGTTTGTTCATAATCAGTCATCAGTCAATTAAACTTTGACAGTATGGAAGAAAAATATAGATGAAATGGATATGATCAACTGAGGGTCAAGGGGACCACAGGCACACGGGAGATCTTTCCATTTTAAGATGCTTAGGAAATAATTTCCTACTACGGCTACACAGAGGAACCTTTTCATCCAAAATTCATTTTAACAATTTTTTACAGTAATTCCTCCAGATCCTTGTGACATTCAGGCAAAAATGTTAAAATAGATCCTTACCTATCTTAACGTTGATGAATCTACAGTTTTTGCTGATTTCTTACCAAAGAAAAATGGAATTTCAAGTTTTGTTAGAGAAATGTCGAAATGCAATGTTGATATTATAAAGTCCTTTTTTGTTTTTCTACATTGAAGATTTGTCAAGGGAAGTAATTACGGAAAGTTCAGATGCGATTACCCAGCCATTTAAGCAGACGATTTTTTATAATGTCAAATTTATCCTCTTGTACCTCTTTGAAGTTTTATTGGAAGAAATTTATTGTCATTTAAAAATCTGAGCATTACAATAATGACAGACAACTTGACAAAAGAACCTAATGTACTTGATGCTGATGCATCAAAACCTGTGATTTCCATAGACAAATTAGAGAAGAGCAGTTTAGAATCTAAAATTAGAACAGATGCAAGACAAGAAATTGCAGAAAAGGACAAAAAGAATGCTGATATTAATCCACAAAATGGAGAAAACATTGATAAAAATCTCAAGACCTGTGAAAACCCAGAAGCTATTCTTCAAGATATTGAAGACTGGAACATGGTAGTCCTTTCAATTTATTTCATTATTATAAAGGTGTAGGCCTAGTTTCATAGACATGTCCTGGTCCTGGAACTAGATTGTGGTACAAATGGGACGACTCACAACTTTTCTAGTGTAGAGTAATGAGCAGTGTTTACTTCCAATTTTTGTGGAGCTCTAAGATTAAATGATTTATTAAGTTTTCAATAAATAGGCTTTAAGTGATAAGCTTTATAGCATAGTCTTTATGCCTAAATAAGCTTAAATAGTTTTCAATCTATCTTTCAGGACTGTCAACAGTTGATGAAAGAAAATAAAAGAATTAAGGCAGGACTAAAAATGCTTTTAGATGAAAGAGAAAAGCTGCTAACTGAAAATGCTAACCTATCTGAAGGTTTCACATTTAATCAGTTTCATAGAAAATTCAAGCATGATAATAAGCTATTATAAAGCCAAGCAAATATGACCCTTGTCCTGAGACAAGATGTATAAATGTGATAAGCATGACATTATCACATCCGAAAAAGGAACTGGGTTAAGCCAGATGTGTAGGACTAAGGGCCATATGCAGCGCTCGTACTTTACCTAAACTTTGACTAAAGTTAGACTTAAGTCGGACTTTAGGTATGCACCGGTCGATCTTTACGAAAGTCGTGCTTAAATTTGACTATCAAATGTAGAAAATGAAAGCCTTGATCCTAACTTTGTAGAGTTCAACTTTAGTCAAGGTAAGAGCGCTGCATATGGCCCTTATTCTGAGGTCCTTAGCAGACTTTTCTCCATTAAAATTAATTTTTTATTACAGGTTATCAGATTTTCACTCCTTATTCTTCTGAATTCGTATATTATTTCATGACATTTTTTATGTAGGTGTAGAAAAGTTCCATGGTCAGATCCAAGATCTTCATGTCCTTTTATCAAGAGTAGATGAGTTAGAAGGTATGTATATGTGGTCAATTTCTGTGTAAAAGAAATGCAACTTTTATTTTTGTTGAAAATAAACATGGCATAGCTGAAATTGTATTTGTCAGCCAAGTTAATATTTGAATGCCTAAGCTTTTATCCCATGAAGCTTTGGCTTTTTCAGTTTAACCTTAAATGATATCTTGACCACTGAATTTAAACAATTTAAGCCTCTAAAACTGGACAAAATCAATGAAACTTGTTCTAAAATGGTGCACTTGATATATACTTTTTATATAAATCTTTGAAATTAAGACATTTTTTATATAATGAATTTTACAGCTGAAAATAAAGATTTGAAAAATGCTGCAGATAAATTACAAACAGAAGCGGAGAACATCAGACAGGTAGACCCGTGATTACAATTTCTGTTTTTTTTTTTGGTACCTACATATTTTCTTCAAGACATTGGGGAATTGATATGGTTGGTACAAAAGATTTAAACAAAAGTTAAGCAATTTATGGTGTGACTTATCTTTTGCTCTACAGCAGAAACTATCTAAAAAATAAAATAAATATGTATGTGATTGGAAGACAAGTATTCTACTATTCAACGGAAGTCCTTGTCTGAACCCAGGAAGGTGTTTTTTAATATCATAATGATTTTTTTTAAGGAAATAATAAGAAAAGATCAGGAACATATGGAGAAATTACAGTTTTTAAAGGAAAGTCATAAAGATGAATTAAAAAACTTGACAGATCAAATGACAGCTACAGGTATTAGGACTTTTTCTTCAAAATTTCCATTTTTCGTAGCTGAAGTGTATTTACTGTCAAATTTTTGATTGGCTAATGAAGATAAGGAACATCATGCAGTGTGTAATAAGGGAATTTTCTAACGATTTGACCAAAAGATTCAATGTCATGCAGTGTGCCTTCAGGAAATTTGCCAAAACACTAAAACATGCACATCCTGCATAGCAAATAAGACATTTTTTTTCTGCATCACTAAAAAGCAGAAACATATTATTATACCAATGTCAGAACCGAACACTGGACCAGATTCGGTCCTGATATAAAACACATGAAATTGATGTAAGTATTTCTTTCTGTCAAGCTGATTATGAGAAGAATATTTTACAAGAGAAGATCAGTAAGAATGAAAAAGAAATTCTTGGTTTACAAATGGAAAAGAGTCAATTACAAGCTCAAAAAGTGACTGAACTATCAGACCTAAAAAACGAGGTACTTTCAATTTCAATAAATTTGTTGATTTTGCTCTTGAAATTCAGCAGCCTTCAGACTTTCCAAGTTTATGTCCACATAATGTCTGTTATATCATAGATACATATTGTGGGTGACTGCTTGAAACCTCGTATATGCCATATTTGGTTATATTGACTTTTTGGTACCGCTCGGCTCGTAAAAGAGCGGATCTTGAGATCAAATCCTCGTATTCTTAGATTGATTGTAAATAACTCTAAAAGCGCTAAGTAAATAACACGTATATAAACAGTCAGATTTAAAACCTCGTAAAATATATTATTATACGAGGTTCAATGTTCCTTTTCTGCGGATGAAAATGAAAAACCTTGTATACTGTATTAATATAAGAGTTTTTGGTTCAATAGGCCGGAGATATCGAATTGTTATCCGAGAATGAAAACCATGTATAGCGGTAAAAAAAATAATAAAAAAAGATTTCAACAAAATACGCGTACAAATAATTTTTTGCGTTTTTCTCGAAAAGTAATTCCGCGTCATATATCGTTATACGAGGTTTCAAGCAGTCACCCACGATATATAAACAATGTAAAAATGAAACTAAATTACTAAACTTGCTGCACCTGGTAAGACTAATATAGTGAGTGAAATTTTTGTCATGACGGCAGCTTTAGCTTTCTTCTTTTTAATTTTCAACTGTCAAGGGTTTTTTAACAAGCACAACCTGTAAATATCAAGGACTAAAGTATTGAATCCTATGACCAGATTGAATAACCATTGAATATTGATTCAGATATTTCTACATAATCTTCAATCCAAATAACAAACAGTCCTAGATCCTTTTATGTCTTACATCTATTCTACAGTATGAAACAAAACTAGCCAATCTGCAACGACAAAAACTTCAACAACATCAAAATCAAATAAACCAACAAAACCAAGAAATGTTTAGGAAGGTAATACAACATTTCTTCAATTTAAACTTAGGATATAATCATTATCATGCTCTCATTAAGAAAAGATAATATTTTAATTGCTGTTCGTTCTATAGAGTTGACACAAATTCTATCAAAACTCTGTGTATAATAATTTTATTCATATCAATACATATTGCCTCATGTGAATTATTTCATCTTTGATTATTGTAGAAACTTCAACATATGAAGGATGAGTATGAAAAGGAAATTAAAGGATTAAAGAGAACAATTGAAGATTATCAAATTGGAAGTCGTCCATCACCAAGAAGTCGCGAAAGACTGACTCTTACTACTGTAGGAGGAAAGAAGCGAAAGTCATAAACTCCATATTCTGAGATTGTTTTTATGGGTACTAAGAGTATATAATTAGTTTTTTCTGCACATAACAGTACTTGATGTAACTAAATTTTCTCCTCGGTCTGTGGTTTGGTAATTTTAATTACAGTAGAAATTGTTTTTACAACCTCTTGATGACCAAGCAATCCTGATAGTCACTATGAGCTGTGGAATGGCAATCTAGCATTATATTTGAACAATGTGTTGGTATCAAAGGGAAAGAATAACCATTATTTGTGATAATAGAGTATTTCTTTCTTAATATTATATTTACAAATAAAATATTCCATCCATATTAATTGTTTCTTGTATAAAAAATCTTCTTCACAATGTTCATCAAGATCCAACTATGTGATAGTTAATAACATCATTTCAAGTTACATATTCCACAATTTTACTGTTCTCTTCCTTTTACACGTTTCTATCAGCAATCACACCACATTTAGAGTTCAAATAAAATTCAGCTAAAAGCACATATACTCTTCTTCTATTATGTATCTAAAGCACCTAGAACACAAAAAAATTAAAGTAGTACAGAGCTGATAACCATTTCGTCTTCATAAATAGTTGTTTGGGAAGTGTTAGGCTAGCCTTGTCTGCAGTCTGACTGGCCTTCTAATATGTCTACATTAAATATCCATTCTGAAACGTGGTTGAAATAGTTTTAGCTCTACCCATGCTATCATTCTGTATATTTCATTATCTATATACATGTACTTGTATCTGGGAAAAAGTTTTAAATAACAGCCTATGTATTGATTACATAGAAACTAAATCAAACAGATTCTAGAAATTTATTGAAATACAGTATAGTTTAATACCTTCTAAAAATGTGTATCTATCTTTTGTTTCTAAGACGATATCTGAAAAAAGAAAAGGCATTCATAAAGCATACATGAAATATTTCTAATAGCATAACCACATCCATGGTTGATAACCATCTTATATTTTTTTTTAACATAGGTCTACATAATCTTGTCTATTTTTTTTATACTAACCCAGGTCTTTTCTTAATAAAGTTTTTCTTTTATTAGTAATAGTTTTACCAACAGAATCTTTAGCTATCATCTGAATAAATAACTCCTGAAAAAAAGAAAATAAATTTAAATCCAGAGACTTCATTGAACTCAGTCCGAAGACTCATTAATTCAAAGACAACAAAGCTTGTATATTCAGTGATTTGATAGGATTGTAGGCTATGCTTGCAAATGCAGTCAGTCAGAGGCCTCGATAGAAAATCTGTTATCACAAAAAGCCATGTTAACAACCTTTCAGTTGACGGCTCTTTTTGACTGTATTTACTCAATCCAATGGTTGCATACCATACAAGGTCAAGTCCAAGAAAATTTAGAAAGGTAACTATTGCAGTCAAGGTATAAGACAAAGTTCGTATCAGCTTGACATTGTGAAGATGTATGACATCTTGATCATTTTATGTGGAAGAGGATGTAGAAGTGGAACCGAAAGCCACATAATTACTGTCATACATACAGCAGCTTTTGCCAGGGCAACCACTGCCTCTGAACTGGCTAATGTAACATCGGGATCAGTCTTTATTATGTGCTTTATTCTAGTAATTGGCAGTCGAATCAATCTTTCTCCACCAGACTGCTCCGTGGATTCTAAATTTTGTGTTGGTGCTTCATTTTCATTGATTTCGTCCCCATTTTCAATATTTTCGGTTTCTTGCTGATCCACAACTCCCGCCATTTTGCCGGATTTACTCAAATATGGGAATTAAAATAACTGAGTAACATGGCACGAAATACAATTATAGTTTTATAAATCAAATTTACTCACCTCAAGCCTCCAAATAACAGCTTAATTGTAAAAATTATTAACTTTCCCAAATAATAGACTGCTATATTATACTATTCCGAATCATACAGGGGAATTTGCATAATTCTTCATCTTTACTTCGTGTTGGTTTATCAAATAATACAATTGAAGAATTCCATGTAAACAAAGTAGTCGAGGTTAACCTAACCACTTTGCTGCACTGGATGATCAAAGCTTATTATTGTTTACTGAAGCATGGAGTCAAGCTGTCAAACTCTTAAACCAACAGTCAATGTTTGTAGAAATTGAAGGGCGCCTAAGGGCGAAATTTGAATAAAAAAAATATCAATGTGAAACGTATTTCAACTGCAACAACTTGATATTTTTTTTTTATAATGACACATAATGAAGAACGAACACATTGGATCAAGGAAGGTTTCATTGGATTGGGAGGTAACAGAATTTTTAATCATGTTGACTATGCCTCATTAAAAACTTTGGAAATATAGTTCAAATGATGCCTTGAGATAAAAATAAATTTATCTCTCTTAAAAGATATCATTCAAAAGATACTGAGGTTTAAATTTTTTTTAGTTCCACCTCATTTAATGCAGAGAGTGTTAGCTCATATAAAAAAATACTGGTACTTCATTAGATACCAGTTGACAGAAATTTCACTTAAGTACATGGGCAATAATAATCCACAATATGAAGAATGAGCTCTTATTATGCTGTCTGAACATAGTTTAAAATCCATTTTCAAGACTTTGGAAAAGAGGGTATATTTTTCACAAAAAGATGAATTTAGAAATTTGACTAATCCTGTAATGTTTGATTTTCAATCTTTTAGTTGGAGTATTATATGGATTCACAAATGTTTGTGTCGGGCATCCATTTGACACACTTAAAACAAAGATGCAGGCACAGAGTGGGTTTGAGAAGACCAATATGATAAATACCTTTATTAAAACTTTTAAAGCTCAAGGAATCAAAGGGCTATACAGGTATGAGTTCAATGGGCAGTTGCATATTTCAAATTCAATACAAAACAAAGTGATAAATTCTTCAAAAATATGACAAATCTATGTATGATCTATTAAATTACATGCTTATCTATAATGCTAACTGTAGTAACAGATTAGAAAATTAATAAAATGATATTCTTTAATACTTTCAACGCAAACAGATCACACTTGTATCAGAGAGAAATTATTATTTTTGTATAGTTGTACTATATCCTAGATCATATATTGTTGAAAAGCATCCTCATACCATACAGACTGGATATGATTGTATATTGATATTGTTGTCTGTGCATTATTTTTATTTTATGTTATATTAGAGGCTGTATTCCACCACTCTGGGGATCTGGTATTTACCGCTCTGCTCAGTTTGCAGTTTTTGAAGCTGTGTAAGTAATGATTGTCCCAAAAATCCATTACTTTTAATGCCTATAGTGTCACCAGCCAGACAGGACATGCTTTAGAACATCTGAATTCACCCTATTATTTGTTTTGTCAACACGATATATTCTTATCAGAGAGCTCACATAATAAAACCAGTGTGAGTATGAAATGGAGTACTTGTTTAAGAAAAAATATTAAAGAACTTCATGGTCACAATTTTGACCTCTTTTGAATTTTTTTTTTTTTGCAGGTATACACATCAAGATCAGAGTTTTGGAAAATATGAATTACCTGGAACTGGAGGAATTCAATTGTAAGTTTTCAAAACAATAGTTGTTCAAAGTGCTAACTTTTTGTAGTGAATTCCACTAAACTGGGGCTCTACTCTTTGAAGGACAGATCACTTATCGTGTCCAATTGAAACAAACAACAAGATAAAGCCATGTATCCTCTTTATTATCTACAGACGTGTATTGACAGCTGGAATGTGTGCCTCTACCATCAGAGCTATAATTGAAACACCTTTAGATTATGCTAAAGTTAGAGGACAAATCAGCAAAAAATGGCAGCTTTCTCAAGTCTATACGGTATGTAATAGTTTACCAGATAAACAACATTGATATAATTTAAATTAAGATTTCATGCAATTGAATATAATCTTATTCCAAATACATAATGTTGCAATAGGCAATGAAAGCTTAGAGACTGCTGGTGAACTTCCCTAGGCCATATTCAATTCAAAGATTTTGTATAGCTGCACTAGTTGCAAGTGGCATATGTTTTAACTAGTGTCAAGCTGAGAATGTTGCTCATGTGTTAATAGCAGTGAGTTGTAAGTGATCTATTTCATGATCGACAAGTTTCATTATAAATTGATTTAATTTTGGTCATTACTTTATTACAGGGTTTTGGTGTGACTTGGGCCAGAACAATGGGGCTAATGTGTACATATTTTATATTGGTGGATTCTGGAAGGAGACATTTTCCTGAACAATTTAAGAAACCTTTAATAGGTCCATTTCTGACATCAGGAATAGCTGCTACTTTAGCTTGGTGGATTGTTTGGCCATTGGAATATATGAAATGCCAAGTACAGTGTGATTATGGAAAGTATGTGACAAGGTGTTTGACTATATTCATGCTATTGATTTAGGACAGTAAATATCATATGTATCACGAATGTTTTAAAACTGCAAATATTGAACCATTTAATTTAGATATTGAAAAAAATCAAAGAAGACAAAAAGTTCAGTCTATATACCAATCTGCATTTTTATTATTTCAATAAACACTTTTTCAGAAGGAATTTAATTTGGAATTATGATATTTTTTAGGAATGTGTCAGTATTAGAGAGAATGAAAATAATTATAAAAGAGAGAGGAGGGTTTTTTGGTTTATATCGTGGTTTAATGCCAGGAACTATTAGAAGTTTTCTAGCTAATGGAACCAGTATGATTGTCATGGTTACAGCTCAGCGTAAAGTTACTGAGTGGGGATTACGAGACACCTGATGAGGAACATGGTAATATAAAGGGGCAGAATGCAAAATTTGCGTTATCAAAAAAGTTGTAAATTTTACCAGAAAGTATTTCAAAAATATACTTTTTATATCTATGTATCTACTAGATCAAACATCGGCAGGATTTTTTAAGTTAAATCTTTCAGAGAAATTAAGGGACACATTTCTCTAGCCATTGGTTTTTATTTTTCATAAATTTTAGCTTTAAAAAGAAAAAAAATGCCCCTTTAACGGCATTTCAAATAATATTGGTGTTTGCTGGTACTCATTGAATGACTGACAGTTTCAGACATTTTGTTTCTGTGGGTTAAGGAACACAATTTCACAATTTTGTGATGTTTTTTGTAAACTTTGCATACCAAATTTAAAAATCAAACTATCTAAGAAAATTTGCTCAGGAATTGTTAGAAATAGAACAAAAGGAGGTTGAACATTATATTTTTCATTCACATAAAGAAGTTGTAAAAATCTAAGATAGCAATGAATATATATATTGAATACATCCTCTGATTAAATACCACATAACAAGTGTTCAATTTAAAATTTTCTCAAGAAACTATTTGTAGGTTTTCCAAATTTTATTGCTTGAATTTGTAATATTTCTTGTCATATACTTGTTGTCTCTCTTTAATATTTTAAAACTTTTGTAATTTTGTAGCTATTTTAGTTTGTATCTTTTCCACTTTCAATCTCTTATTTTTATATGTATTTTGTTTATTGATAATTTTTTTAACAATTTTTATATTTTAATACTAATGCTCAATTCTACTCTATACAACTGTTTTAATTAAATAATTTTCTAACAAATTTTGTCATCAAGATTAAAATTCTACTGGACTTCATCAAAGCCTTTCCAGAATCTCAGAAAGCGTGAGTGTATGGGTGCAAGTAAAAAAAAAACATTAAGCTTAATGAGGTACATTGTTCTGAAATGGGAAACATTACATCTTCATAGCTCTGGGTGCAGTTTCATAAAATATAATAACACTTTTCCATAAGTATGGAATTTTACATTGAGATATATCATACGTAAAAAGGTATTGACAAAAACATATCAGACAGGGCTAGAGATATTGTGCACATTTTTGGATTCCTTCTACCCTAAAATATTTATCTCCAAAATTTTTACCCCAAATTTGTCTGAACGGTATCTTCCTACACTGCTGTGATGTTTTCTGAAGCTACAAAGGGGTACTTGTATCCCATTCTAGGAACCAGGGATATAACGAGATTAAAGGTTTGACAATGAGATAGTATATTTAATGAAATTGTAGATGATATTCTGTGAGGACAAATGATTTGATTAAAGGATGTACAGCACTATAAAATATATTCTATATACAATTACAAACTATAGCACAGTTAAAACTGTTAACAAAAAATGATGAGTGCCCAATGAGGGAATTATATGATCCCATGTAAGAAGTGAAATTCAAATCATTAAAAAGAGTAAAGAGCTCTTAACAAGTAACAATATCAATAAAATACTAAGATATATGGATATACTATATATTTTTTTTTTTTATACTTGAAAACGTTACCTGTATGTGTTCCGAAATGCGAAACGTAGTATGTAATTATGCAGAAGTAGTATATCCATATATCTTAGTATTTTATTGTAATCTTCCTACTTCTATATGTCTTATAAACAATAAAAAGTAATAATATCTCTTTATACTTATTATCAAAAACTTCAATATCGATTTCAGGTGTAGGTACTAAAAAGAACTAAACATTTCTGCCTTGGTGATACCATGGGTATTACACACACAGATATTTTCATCACCAGTAGAGCAGTTCTCTAGAATATGATGTTGCTTTTAGTGTATTTGGATGATGTAGTTGCTAAATAATGCATACTAGTATAAAAAGTGCCATTGTCAATTTTGATAATGTTCAACTGCCCTAGAATCATGACATACATCTACACTATGAAATACCTGAGTTCATATTGGTTCCATATTTAACAATATTTTCTTTTAAAAGACTGTTTTTTGTAGTTGTTAAGTCACTTTGAAGTTCAATATATTCACATTTTTCACAATAAAACTTATACAACAATAAACAGCTATCATTAGGTACCATTGGTTATCTTTTCCTTGATCTGCCTTTCTGTGGAGTTTTATTGCTACCTTCACCAAACAGTCTGAATGTACAACTTGGTTAAGGAAAAAATTTTAATAGTGGAGATATTTACATGAACACTTTTAAATTTCAGAGACATACAAAGCTATTTTGAACAATAAAACAGTTTTCTGTGGCCAAATGGTAATAAATTGGCAACTGTTAATGGTGATGGTCTTTAGAATCCAGTATATCCTATCTTAACCCAATTAAACAAGTCATATTCTACTGAAATTTGAATAAACATAGGGTCAAGGCAAATAAGGCAAATACACACCTGCTCCTGTTTTGAGACAAATCTGTCATTTTTCGATGTAAAATTACACACTTACAATAAATATATAAAGTAAAATTTTTTCACAAACGCCAACCTGAATTCTAAAAGAAATGAACTAATAAACAGTTTATATAGTAAAGGATATGATTGTATATCTATTTGTTGGCGTAATATACCAGTCAATATAAACTCTGATGACACTATATCTATACCATTAGAAATAGCAGGCTGACATAATGTCTTATCTTCATCACATGATATTATCACCATATTATCTTCCTTCTTCTTCGGTAAACTTTTTAACACCTACAAATACATTATATATAGATCAAATAGAAATTACTGATCAGTAAAAGCACCAAATCACTGGTTGAGAATACTGATCAATTCATGTCAGTAGCAAAATTATGGCCAAAATCACATCCTTCATGACTCAGCATTTTTTTTTTTACTTACATCTTACTGCCATGAGCTAAAAATAGTTAAAATACCATGATTCTGCCCTAACATGAAAAATTCAGTTTACAAAAAATATTTACCTGAGCACCTGAACATTCCAATATTTCTGAAATAAAAATCATATTTTTGAAAATATAAATATTCCTTTCATCCCTCAGATATATTTTCAACTCACAAACCTGTTATCTGTACAGTAAAACTATTTGACACATCCAAGACTTTTGATATCAACAGGAAAAGAGGACAGAAATGCAGGAAGTTCAAATGAAAGTATTAAATGAAAATTCTCACCTGCCATAGTTTGCGGAGGAGGTTTAACTGATTTAGTAACATGTATTTTATAACCTTCTAACATAGAAGATTGAGTAGCTATTTCTATAGAGTGACGTAATGAGAACTTGTATTGTTTTTCAGAGGCTTTATCACATAGTATATATTTACTACTATCTGAAATAGATAAAGTTCATATTAATGTTATTGTCAATGCTTGCTTGATATCCATTCTAATTTTCAGCCATAGAAAGGCCATAAAAACAAAAATAAAATATCTAAAAGTTACACAATTAAGTAAAAACTGAATTTAAGAAATAATTAGCTAAATAGTTGAGCCAAACATGGCTCCTGAGTTTAATTGTACAATGTGACAACAATCTACACCTGATGATGACAATATAAATTGTTGAAAAATGTAATTTCTACCCTTAAATTTTGCTTATCATTCCATAGGAAACATAGGACAGGGTGGCAGAAATGTTTTCAAGATTCATTTGATAGGAAGAAGTGGTGCGAATTATATTCACAAATACATGTATACAGTACCTAAAAACATGCCAGCTTGTTTACTGTCATCTAACCATTGTCTGGTTATAATCTGGATGCCTAATGATATACCACCTAATAACTTTACTGTTCTTCTTATCTATGATATAACATTATAATACAATATACAATTATATACAGACAACCATCTTCTAGTACCTAATGATATACCACTTAATAGCTTTACTGTTCTTCTTATCTATAATATAACATTATAATACAATATACAATTATATACAGACAACCATCTTCTAGTACCTAATGATATACCACTTTATAACTTTACTGTTCTTCTTATCTATAATATAACATTATAATACAATATACAATTATATACAGACAACCATCCTCTAGTACCTAATGATATACCACTTTATAACTTTACTGTTCTTCTTATCTATAATATAACATTATAATACAATATACAATTATATACAGACAACCATCCTCTAGTACCTAATGATATACCACTTAATAACTTTACTGTTCTTCTTATCTATAATATAACATTATAATACAATATACAATTATATACAGACAACCATCTTCTAGTACCTAATGATATACCACTTAATAACTTTACTGTTCTTCTTATCTATAATATAACATTATAATACAATATACAATTATATACAGACAACCATCTTCTAGTACCTAATGATATACCACTTAATAACTTTTACTTAAAATCGATGTAAACCAATACCTTATCTGTTATAAGATGTGTACACTCTTGAATGGTTTCTGCCATACTTCCTCCCAGATCTTTAATAATCTGAAATATTGAAAGATTGATTTAGAGCCTGAAGGAGTCAAGAGTTTAATGGTATGTGGTCTTGATATTGATATATTTCAGCTTCCCAGAATTATTATTTTACCTATTTGCACATTATCAAATTAAATTTATTGAAAGAAGTGCTTTATAGGGAGCAAATACAGAGGGCAAGTGTAATTGCATTTCACGAAAAATGGTGTCATAGGAGAACTTTGTATTTTCATCTCTAATTATAAAGAAAGGCTCCATTGAAAATTCCAAAGTTCTACAGTATCCACATACACAATAAGCAGGTGTTTTACTTCCAGAACCAAAGTTCCTTCTTTAGACTTTAATGCAATCTAATGAACCATTAGTTTTGCAAGCACCTGACGTTAATACAGCCTACCAAATGCTCTAGGATTGCAAGCCCACTAATTATTTTACACTAACAAACAACCTACCCTTTCTCCCTGTTCATCCACCACACCAGTAAACATAACTTTAGGTTTGATACCAAATGATTTCCGCCGTAATGATGGTGATGCTGTTATGTCTTGAGATAATCTCTTTCTTGATGGTGTTGATGGTGGTTGATGGTCTCCCTTCTTACTTACTTTTGATGCTGAAGCTGAAACTTCCTGAAAAAACATGCATTGAAATCATATTCAATGTATTTGCTCCAAAACAATTATACAGAAAAATCTTTATTTTTTTCCTTTTTTTTGTGCCATGTGAAATAAACAGGTTCATAATGTTGTTATTCTAGTGATGCATAATTGAAGTCATGCAGATAGAAACGTGGCACAAATACATTATTAAAAGCCACAGTGGAACCCTTATCTAGATTCAAATGAGAAATTGCTTGGTTTGCTTTTTGTTTGTATTTGCTTAAAACAATTTGAATTCATGAATTGAAATCTTTAAGACTCTTACTAGATACAGCCAACATAAACATAATAAACAAATTTACTTACTTCGTCAATAGCCCGATCACCATCTCCTCTTCCACGTTTTGGCGTTCTCTTACTACCGGAGGAAGAATTGGTATCCTCCACAGAAGAAGAAGATTGCTTTGTTTCTTTAGGGCTATTAATATTCTTAGCATCATCTCCTCTTCCACGTTTTGGAGTTCTCCTACTACTTGAGGAAGGATTAATATCTTCAATGGAGGATGATTCCTCTGTTTCTTGGGAGCTTTTACTATTCTTAGCACCTCTGCCTTTACGAGATGCAGTCACTGCTTTGGTGTCACTATCTGAGATCTTTTTCTTTTTATTGTCACTCACAGAGTCTTTTTCGATAATATTTTGGGTCGCTTTGCGTTTAGAATGACTACTTGGACTTGCAGATTCTTTTTCTATACAGCTTGTTGGTTTATCTTGTGCAGATTTTCCCCTTGCAGTACGTTTGATAACTTCTTTAATAGGTTCTGTAACATCTTCAGTAATTTTCTTGCCTGCTCTTTTTGTTCTTGAGGATTTAGGTTGGGACTCATTTTCTTCTTGAGATGAGTCTTCAGCTGCAATTTCTTCATTTCCCTTTCCTGTTGCATTGGAAGATGCTGAATCTGGAGGAACAACAGCTGATATCCAACCTCGTTTTGTTCTTGATGTATCAGGTGTATCTGTATTTTCTGTTGGTGCTGGATCTGTTGTCTTCACAGATCTTGATGCTCTGCCTTTGATGGAAAGACCAGTATCAGTATCTACATTAGATTTTACTGCTGTAGATCTTCTGGACTGTCGACCTTTAGTTTCTACAACTGGATCAACATCTTCAACACTATCTAGATCAGTGTCAGTATCTTTAGATTTTGGCTCTGTCTTTGAAGATTTCCCCTTGCCTCTAGTGGTCTTTCCTGAGGTACTTTGCTCAATTTCACTTTCCATAGACTCTACATTGGACTTTTCATCAACTAAATCTTGCTTGGTTTGATTGACAGATTCATCATTATCTTTTGTTTTTTCAGTACCAGCTGTTTTTCTACTGATCCTGGTAGATTTGGCAGTTGCTTTGACCTCACTTTTGTCATCATCTTTCACAACAGATTTTCTGCCTCTGGTTTGCTTTATCAACTTAGTTTCTGTAGATTTGACTTCTTCAGTAGCTGCAGCATTCTTCCCTCTCCTAGACCTTCCTGCTGGTTCTTCAGTTTTCACTTCTGCAATATTGAACACTTCTTCAGATTGACCATGGTTTCCAGCAACCATTGGTTCTGTTTCTTCAACATCCACCTTAACATCAGATTTTCTCCCTCTCTTTGATCTTCGTCCAGCCTCAGGTTTAACTTCTTTTTTAGACTCATCCTCTTTAGAAATAGTCTTCTTACTTCCCTTTGTTTTCTTTGAATTGTCTTCTGTTACTTTTGTATCTTCCTCTTCATTGTCTTCACTGGACTGACCTCTTTTTCTCTTTGTCTTGGGTTCTTCCACTGCAGGTTCTCGAGTCTTCTTTCCTCGAGTTCTTCCAGCTCTAGTTGAGGCTGATGTTGAGGCTTTAGCATTCTTAGGACTTGAATTTGTTATTCTTTCAATAACAGGACTGAATTCTTCATCCGTATTTTCTTCAGATTCCTTTTCAAAGCTGGCTTCTTTTACCTGAATTAAAAGGGGGTCTTTTACAAACACAATATGGATATATATCTGAAAACCATCAATATTGTGGGGAAACATAGTTGTAAAAATCACAATCCCAACTGTACAGGAAAAGAAGAGCAGGCCATCGCACAATGTGCTTGATTATGTGTATATATGCGAAAAAATTATAATCATTGTAAATGTGTTTTTATATTTAGTATTGAAAATAGGATCAATTTTCCTATTTCTGTATAAAATTGTAGATTAAAATGAACATCTTGGTTATAAATGTAAATTGATTATTTATTTATTTAATACCACTATATGTATTTGCAGCCATTTTGAATTTAAGTAGTTTTTTTTTTCCTGTAGTGTTATAATCGGTACGAGAATTCTTACCCCAACAAACATCACTTTCTTAGGGGATGGGCTTGGAGATGGACTTCTACTTTTGGGACTAGCTAGAGCTGATTTGTGAGGTGATCTGGAAGGAATTGGTATCAATGGTGGTTTATCTTCTTCAGGGCTTTCACTGTCGGGTACAAACTACAATTAGAAGATGGAATTATTACTGTTAACAGGTCAATTCATACAGAACATCAATAAATCACAATATGTCTAATTGTACAATTAGTTCAATGAGCAATGCAAAGGAAAAAAATATTCAAAACACATCCTTTTATCTGAATCAACATACCATCAGATACAATTGACCTTATTGTAATTAGGTATAATACAAAGTGCCATACACAGGTTGCTTAAAAGTTCATAGGCTAACACATATGTATTTATAATAGTTCTTGTTCCTATGAATTTTAGAGAACATAATATGGGCTCAATGGAACTCAAAGATGTGTAAAATTTATAGAGATGAATATGTTACCTCAATTTCATCAACTGGTAAGGTGTCATTACTCGATTCTGAATCATTGGATTGAATCTCCTTTTCTGGTGTTGACTTCTTGCTAACATTGTGGCTTCGACCACGTCTTGTAGATGCTTTAACTGGAGATTTACCATACAACTGAGTAGGTTCATCTATATCTGAAGTTCCTTGTTTGCTTCCTTTTGCTTTGGTCCTCGAACTTCTTTTAACAGGTGACAATCCATAAGGTTGTGTAGAATCATCCAATACAACACCTTCTTCCTCAGATGGTGGTGACTTAGCTCCCTTTAAAGGAGACAAACCATAGGCCTGAGTTGCCTCTTCAATAACTTTTTCCTCTTCTTTATCTTTTTCATCCTCCAAAACAACTTGAGATTTTTTAATACCTTTTGAATTCTTTCCTTTTCCTTTACCCTTGCCTTTTTTCTTTGGTGTAAAGCATGCTTGTGTTGGCTCATCAAAAGAAGATAAATTTTCGACTGGAACTGTTTCAACTGGACCTTTATAAGAGTCTCCCTCATTAAGAAGCTGAGTAGCATCAGCCGTAGATGCACTTAAAACTTCGGAATTTGGAGTTCCATCAATAAGTTGTGTTTGGTCATTCATACTTACAGGAACTGTTTCAGAAAGGGGTTGTGTGGTATCAGAGTCACTTCCATTTTCAACTGGAATTGTGGCATCACCAACTGCAATTGTAGCATCATCACTTGTAGCATTTATTGCAATTGTAGCATCATTTACACCAACTGTAGCATCTACTGCAATTTTAGCATCATTAACAGCAATGGTGGCATCATCTACTGCAATTGTAGCATCATCAACAGCAACTGTAGCATCATCAACAGCAACTGTAGCATTTACTGCAATTGTAGCATCCCCAACCGCATTACTTTTTGTGGATTTCTTAGATGATTTGCCTTTCTTTGGGCTTTGTATCATTTGAGTGGCATCATCGGAACCAATTTGCTGTGTCGCATCATCTACTTTCTGTGTTTCATCACTTAACTTTTGTGTTGCATCAGTTCTTTTTGGGCTTTTAACTAATTGTGTTGCATCATCATTGCCAGTATCTTCTACCACTTGTGTGGCATCCATATTTACTGGTTGTGTAGATCCATCATCAGAATCTTCTTTAGCATCTGCTTTCTCCATGGGTTCGTCAGCTACATCTTCATCCATATCGCATGCTAATGTTGGCATAATAAACAGGTGACTCATGTCCTGTTCTTCAGACTCACTAGCTGGATCTTCTTCAAGAACTTCTTCCTTTACATTATCAGGAATGATAGGATCAGACTTAACCTCTTCATCATTATCTGTAAAGATTAATGAATACACTTAAAATCTAGGGTCCATTTCAATAAATCTTTACAGGTAATGATTTAAATTTCTTAGTTATTAAAATTTATATTAAAAAATTCTAATCAGATAACTATATTGCAGAAAATCTGGACATTATCATCTTCAAATTTTATCACAAGACCTATTGTTTTTTTTATATAATCATAAAATTTTAGATTTTGATCTCTTGACTTAAGCCTCTCCAGACTGATGATCATGTGCACAACTTGATTAGATTCAGTTCACTAAAGAATTCTAGAAGATCTTACCTGATAGGCCTACCGCTTTAGACCCTTTCAGATTATTGTTTTGTTCAGATGAAGTGCTCTTTGATTGATCTGCTCTAATTGGAGTTAACTCTTCATCTTTGTTCAGCATGAAACTCTGTGTTTCTGCCACTGCACTGATATCAGCTTCCATTTCATATGGTACAGTTGGCCCCAAGGAAGCTTTAGGTGTAGATTGTTTACTTTTCTTAGGGGTGCTTCTCTTACCAATGTCCATTGTATAGGCTACAGTAGCACCTTGTTGGTCCTTTATAACAGAAAACAAAACTCATAATGAAAATTCTTTTATGTGATGCTTTAAACCTAAATATCAATGCTTCAAAACATTGTAAACCAGTCACCTAAATCAAGGTATTGCACTAATCCTAGCCTAGCTCGAAATATCAGTTGGCTTAAGAAAAAAACTAGTGGAACTTGAGAATCTGTTTCAATATGGTCATATGGAATATGTTTGAAAAAATACTATATTGGTACAAAGTGAAATTGCATAAAGATTGTGCATAAAGAAACTGTGAGTGACAACATGTTTCAGGGTTTGTCTTAATATTTCTATAGGGCTC